CTGGAAGGTATGGGGGAATACAAGCGCTTATTCGTAGAAAACTACCGAATGCTATGTGGACCCATTGCATCATTCATAGGGAAGCTCTTGCATCAAAATCAATGAGCCCTGAACTGAACCAAGTACTGGAATGTGTAATCGGTGCAGTGAACTATGTAAAAACTAGTCCTCTAAAGGCCAGACTTTTAAAAAAACTATGCATAGGTATGGGAGCCGAACATACGGCATTGCTCTATTATTGAAATTCACGATGGCTTTCACGTGGAAACGTTTTGTTTCGTGTGTTCGAATTACACGAAGAAATTCGCACTTTTTTACAGCAAGAACGTTATGAAAACGCCAAATATTTTACTGAACCAGATTTTTTGCTAAAACAAGCATACTTATGCGATATATTTGAGAAATTAAATAATGTGAATCTCTCTTTGCAAGCTAACAATACGCACATTCTGAAGCTATCGGAGAGGATTGCGGCATTTAGAAAGAAACTGCAGTTGTGGAGAAAAAAATGAATGAAGGCGACGGTCAAGATTGCTTCCCGCAATTGTATAAATATGCGGCATCTAATGAACTGGTTATCTCACAAGATCAGGTTGTCCTTTTTACGGAACACCTAGTGAAGCTCACCGAATGGTTTTTGTAGTACTTTGCAGATGATGATGTCGAAAAATTTGCGTGGATCCAAGATCCTTTTCATGCACAAACTCCACCAGGATTCACATCACAAGATGAAGAAAGTCTCATTGAACTCTTTTGCGACAGCACCCTTAAAATTAGATTCACCAAAAGCATTAAGAATTTTCATTCCGTTTGCAACATCATATCTGTGTGAAGCTGGATTTTCAGCTGTAGCTGTAATAAAGAACAAATATCGCTCAAGGATCAAGGTGGAGCAAGAATGCTAAGCTCATCCATCACATTGATTTGACGGAGTAAATATTGTATTTTATTTTTGGTTTTCTCGTTTTTTCCAGTTTCAATTCTTTTATAATAAAACAGTCAATTTAATATTGTAGATATGTAGATGTTTCGATTTTTGTTCCGATCTCGCTAACCTAACTACTATTATTGTAGGCACCTAAGTATTTTTTTCGACTGCCCTTTTTTAGGGCGCCATGACAAAATACTAAACTTGTAACTGCGCCGCGAGTTTTAAAAGATTGGGAACCCCTGATCTAACATATACTACGCAACTACGCTACCCACAAATTTCGTTTTTCTGTCTTCAACAATAAAAAAGTTACAGGGGTGATCCACTTTGGAGCATTACCCGGTATACATATACGTTGCAAATGTCCCAGTTTCTTTAATATATCCATTAAAAGTACGATTTTTGTTGTATTTCTTTTATACGGACACTTTCAGTCGGTTGATATCCGTCCAAAGGAGATTTCACTGTACGAGTATATGACCAATGAACTGTCAACACTGATGGAACAGGCGTAACGCGAATTCATTGCGGCTAGAATGAGAAACGAGAAGGATAGAGGTAGTCAGGGCAAAACATTGGCAAAACATCGTGGTCCATTGTGGTATTTCCATATATGTTCTAAGGATTTTTGGTGAATGTTTCTTTTTAGTGACGTTAAAGATTAATAGTGATAGTTTGCGACAATTATTATAAACATTTTTATGCCGGACAGCCTTCAAGAGCTGTTGTTTTATGTGATATTTGTTTAAAAATGGTTGAATCTTGCAGTGCGGTGAATTGTTGCAATAGACACAGAAAAGATGTGAAAATGAAGTTTCACAGGTTGGTTTTAATCATCTCATTCATTTTTTGTGTGAGAATTACCTGTTAATTGGTAACTCGAGAAAATATCGGGATTTTTAGAATACTTACAGATCCTAACATGAGGAAGTTGTGGTTACATGCTATAAGAAGAGAAAACTTTACTCCCAGTACAAAAACGGTAATTTGTGAAAAGCATTTCACTCCAGAGGATTATGAAGTTAGTGTTCATCTGTGTTTGATTTTCCAGCCCACCTCAAGAAAGAACCTAGCCATCGAAGGGTTTTGAAAAGGAAACATGAATACATAATTTCTAGAATGAACTATGGTATAACCTATATTGTATTATAATGAAAAACTGTGCATCTACAGTATTGTTAATGCCATTGTGCACAAATATTTTGTATACACATATATATATTTATATATATATATAGATATATATATAAGGTTTTTTTCTTTGTACACTTTGATCTCTACAAAACTGGACGTGTTCTCACTACATTTAAAATAATATAAATTTAAATGTGCATAAATACTATTTGGAACATTATAAAGATATATAGAAAATAACATGTATTTATTGTGATATTTCTTAGAGCTCTTATTTTTTATATGTAAGATATAGCATATTAGAGCAGTTAAGTTAATTATAAGCAGACATGTAATCTCTTTGCTACCTTGATTATTAATTACTTATGTTAAATACTAATTTGTATATCTTCAAATGTGTAAAGGAGAATTTATTGGCTAGTTTCATACATATGTATATATAAATAAAAAAAACTTGGTTTTTTAATTATAATTACGTTTCCAGGATTTTATCTCGTTCCAGTTGCCTGAATAACTTTTAAATCTTCTCTAAGAATCCTCGGTTTCCTATGCAATTCATTCAAGTAAGCCCGCTTTTTGCCCTGACTAGCTCCATCTCTCTCTCGGACCTCTTTGTCGTATGTTGGCCGCATTATCGTTTCATTGTACAAATGGGACGGGGCGATTCCATCAGTGTTGACAGTTCATTGTATATGACCCGGCCTAGAGGAATTCGAGATTAAAATGTAATGAAGAAGAATTACATTTGGTAGCTCCAAATTTACAAACCAATGTTAATAAATAAAGATTATATCTAAATTCAACTCGAGAGCAACAGTTTCTAGAATATCTAATTTGTTGGACAAACATTGAATATTTGAGTGAAAAATCCTGTCTCCTGGCTGTTGCTCCCTAATTATTTCAGAATCTGCTATAGAATGATTTGCATTAGAATTATTTCCACTAATCACGTCTCGAATATGATATCTGCCATAGTACAGCTTGAAATCAAACCTCCTATAACGAACACCTACCGACCAAAAAATCGATCATAAAACAGATCCTTATACTTGAAGTCTGCTGTCACTAAGAAATTATAGAACTTTTTATTTGAGAGATCATTCTTCCTCTTTTTTTCCCTAACGTCTTAGTGATGTAAGAGAGCACATCTTTTGTATCCAACGCTATTTTATGAAGATGGGTAAACTAAGTGCAACACCATGGAAGTTTCCATTATCTTCTGACTGACTGATATTTTTCTGACTATCTCCTTTTTGACTTCTTCGCTTTTTCTACACTATTTCCCATTTCCCATCCCCAGTTTCAGGTGGTTGGAGATTGGTTGAACTTCATCAGGCTGCTTTTGCATCGGTGTGTTGTGTTGTCGTCTTAACTACGTCTGTATTTTCGACCGGAGTTTTAGTTTTGTTGGCTGTTATACTTATCCTGTAGTTAGCGTTTTATGTAGATGGAGCTGTTTTCAAATTCGACATTTTGCTATCAAAGTTTGAAAACCGATCAGTAATATCTGTAGTTTCGCAAATACGCTATTAAAGAAGTGGTTATAGCTCAGGATATCACAATAACCATTCACAAAATTGAGACCTTCGTCAGTTCTCATAGAAGCAGCAGTTTCTTTTATAAACGATAATTAATTCCTCAAGTTTCTTAAATCTGTACTTAGTAGGTCGTTTTCTTTAGTGAGCGAGTCAATGCTAACTCGCATTTATTTTCTTATCAATGTATGATCAGCAAGTTGTTTTTTCAGAGCAATCATATCACATTCATTCGATTTTAATTTTGATTGCAAGTCGGACTAGATTCGCAGTAATTCCTCATTTTCTTTGATAATTTTTTCAGTGACATTGCGCTGGTCAATAATGGAACTATTGAGGCTTCTCTCGGTATCAAAAACTTAGTCTGACAGGTTACTACGATAACTACTATTGTCCTAGGTTAGGTTATGATAGGTTTCTTGTGAGTGCATCAATAACGACTGAGACTCGTTGGTATATTGTGGCTCACACCTATTTATATCTCGGCCAGTAGCTCCGACCTCCTGTTTGGAGAAATATCCTTCAGCTCTTCTGCTTGGAGTACTATGTCTCCAAGTATGTTGTACCTGATTCTGGCAATTGCAGGGCATCTGTACAATACATGCCTGATCGTTTCATCTCCCGCCATGCACAGTCTGCACTCAACGTCTTCCGCCATGCCCAGCCTGCTCATGTACTATTGTCCTATGATATATACATTTTTATTAGCAGTGAAATGATAGCCGGCAAAATAGCTCAGTTTAGGCACATACACCTTTTGAAAACTTAACTAGTGATGTATCAAGCTCAACACAAGATGTTTTGCTGAACTCCATCAAAGAATGGCTCATTTTAGCTGCCCACTCATTGTGAAGTTGACACTGCTATTATAATTCATTTTCTCTTTTTGCTATATATTTTTATTGGTATAATTGCTTGCTAGTTTAGTAGAAAGAGTGTACCCTTCAGGATAACAACCGCACATATACAGTAAGTTACAAAGGAGTATTACACAGCTAGTGAAGATTTCTTAAGCAATTGTATTACCAGCCCGAATGATGCCTGATGTGTATGATTTGGCAAATCGAGTGATAGGAGTTTATTTTACAAGTCGACTCTCTATAAGCCGGGCATCAAGTCAGTGTTGCCATTTATACTACCTCTGATTACAGGCTGTGTAATCCTGATGACAACATTTGAAGGGTCATTTTATGTTCAGTAATACTAATTCGGTATATCTATAATATAAAACGACCGGTTTCATAATAAAAAGACGAACCTGGTCGAAAAAGGTTAAAGGAAACAAGATACTTCCAAAAACGAAATGTTTGTGACATTTTACCTTGAATAATCCGACCTGAAACTGAATGATGATTTGACTAACCAAACAAGAACTCTAATCCAATTGGTATAATTTTTAGGATGACATAATTTCGTTAGGTACAGCAGAATGTGCACAGTTAATCTTAACTGTCAAACCCTACTATAGGGACCTAGTGTGTATTATGCTACGTAAGTCTATGTATCCAGCTATAGACAACAGCAGCTGGTCCTTAGATGACAAAGAAGTATTCAGGTATGGTTTTTATATAATTTCTGTGAAGAATATTACATTTTGGTGTTCCAGATGTTATCGGCTGGACATAGCTGACACTTTTATGTACTGTTATGTTATACTAAACATAGAAATGTTAGATCTGCTCAATACGAAATTGAATGAAGCTTTAAAAAAAGATTGCACAAACGGTATTTCATCTCATGCAATCCAATGGACAGAAGTTGAAACTGTTTTACATGCCTTTGGGGCCATAGCAGAAGGTTTGGAGTATGAGAATGTATATCTTCCTAAGTTGATGCAGACTATTAAAGACATACCTTTCAACGAGCTGAATAGTAAAGTGATGACAACTGCGTTACATACTGTTGGTGAGTATATTTACTTCTTACATGAGTCTTTGAGAGCATAGATCTGGGATACTCTGAGAACTACTACTGATTAGATCTGTCTCATAAGCGGAGTTTATGTCTCTTCGCCAATTTTAGTAGGTCAGTAAAGCTACCGTTATCACATTCATACCTTCATCTCCCTCTTACATACATGATATATCTTTTTGTGTGGACATTTGTGTAGGCTCAGAGGCATACGTTTTTCCTTTTTGTTGCTCCTTGCTTCAAATATCAGTTTGCCTGCTGTACAGTTTCCCTTGGGAAAGATATAGTCTAATCATATTAGACGAAAATACCCCTGGTTTGCGAAATGATTGTAAAGCCTGGTTTTATTGATGCAAGTTGTTTAAGGGGGTATTTTAAACATGGACGCATAAAATGGGTACACCAATTTTTGTGGGAAAACTAAGATTTTTAGGTATTTATGAGACCTACAAAATGAGACCAGACGCAAAAAGATCTGTCTAATAGTAAAGAAGTTATTGCCGAAAAACGAGGCAAAATGCAGGTTTTGGCACTTACTGCTAATGCGAAGATAATCTCACGGACCTACTTGAAATTCTTCATATCCGTAGGCTTCATACTTCTAAGTAACCACAACAAAATTGGAGTCAATTGGTCAAGTAGTCTTTGAGAATTTCTTATTGTTTATCCCAAAACACCAGTCTTCCGGCCATCACTACTAGTTTACTGAGCAATATACAGGGTTCGTTCAAAGGGCATTTTATAGCAAAATTCACGAATTTACCTTGTAGACATAAATCACAAACCATTATGAAAGATAATTGTTGTTTTTATGCGAAAAAAGAAGGGATAAACGAAGGGTTACGTTTTTTTCTTCTGAACAAATTCAAACATTTCGTATTTGTGAGTAATTGAACACATTCGCTACGATATTCGAAAAACATAGGTTATTATACACGTTTTAAAACAAAGCGGATGAGTCTATCGCGTTTTGTTGCGAAGAAAACAATTTTTTTTAAGATTTCTTCATACTCTTGTGTATACATATTTAGAGCTGAAATTCTTACACGGTCACAGATGAGCCCTAAAGTTTATAAAAATAAATATTTGACACCTAAATGCGCTGAACTGTTTATAAAGTTAGCACGCAAAATGAAGACACAATTTATGTGTATTTCAAACTTTCTTAGCCTAGTTAGTATGTAGCATATGCTAAATGGCTGCATTATTGATCACTGCATGACTTTGTCAAATAAGTAGGTCACTCAATCCAGTTTCTTTACAAAGAAATATAGTTCCCTGGATCTTTTTTTCTAAAAGCTTCAGTATAGTATACGACTGTTTTCGAAATCTCGCACTATTGAACCGACTGCGAGTTCAAAATATTGGAAAATAAACTCGAGAACACGAAAAAACAATAGACAAATATCAACCAATTGTAGCGAACTTGTAGCTTCAAAATTAGGAAAAATGCTCGGTATTAGTCCCTAATACATTATTTAAAGTTTCAGTATTGTATCTCGTATAGTTTTCAAGAGTATTTTGATTGTTTATAACATATTTGATATGCCTTCAACGTTCGCTTGACATTTGTCAGTGTCGAGTGCAGTCATACCAAGAGGCGTCGTAGCGTAGTGGGTGAGTGCGGTGATTTCTGAACCGCAGGACGGAGGTTCAAATCCACAAAGCTCCTTTTTTTGCTATCAATCTTTTTTTTCAAATTTGGAGAAATAAAGGTTTTTTCACATTATGTGTACTTTTATTGCGATCAACCATAGAGAATGTAAGCTTACAAATAGGAAACCAGAGGTATACATGTGATTGTTTATAATTTTTTTTATATTACTTTGATGAAATTTCAAAAACACTAAGTCGGATCATAGCAGTTTTCGATACGCCGTCAAATTAGGTAACTCTTGGAGCCACGGAGGATGCTTATAAAATTAGGTGAGCTAACCCACAGTTTTTGTATTTATCAAGTAACTGTTTCGCGTAGGTGCCCATTTCATCAACACCGTAGATATTTTTTGCATAGTTTGTATTTATTAATTTCGGATTTCATTATTGTTGGTTAATAATTTACACATCTAAGATATATGCTTTCAAAAATTATCAGCTATGATCCGACATGGTGTTTCTGAAATTCCATCAAAGTAATATAAAAAAAATATAAACTATAATACGTATACCGCTGGTTTCCTGTTTGCAAACTTACATTGTCTATGGCGTGCGAAAAACTGTTTGATCGCTATAAACGTACACATAATGTAAAAAAACATTTATTTCCCCAAATATAAAAAAAAGTACTAGCAAGCTTTGTGGATTCGAAGCTCCGTGCTGCGGTTCAGAAATCGCTGTTCTATCCCATTACGCTACGACGCCTCTTGGTTTACTGGATCTTTATAACCACTATACTTGACACTGACAAATGTCAAGCGAACGTTGAAGGCATATCAAATATGTTATAAACAAGTAGAATACTCTTGAAAACTATACAATGCTGACACTTTAAATAATGTATTAGGGACTAATGTACTTGTTCACGGGTTATGGGTGAAGGTGGAACTAAATTAAGATTTGCAAATTTGACTGAATTATGCAAAGCTTTGGAGCCAAAATTCACTTTCGCCCTAAAATGAGAAGGTAGTTTTCCCATAAATTTTAATAACTTGCAGAATTCTGAAATAACTCGACTTCAATATGTAAAAACCCAAATAATTAGCCTTTTACGTTTTTTTGTGGCAGTTGGAATAGATATTTGGCAAATCATTTTGGAAAGTCACGAGGTTTCCGTCTAGCTACAACCCGATATAGTTTTATCAAAGAGTAGTTATAATGGGTGATTCATTTATAGGTACTTTTTTCAGCATAACAAAATAAAATAACAAAATTCTTTTTTCTTGTCAAATCTTTTTTATTAAAGAAAAGAAATATTTTTGACATTTATTATTTAAATATCATTTCTTTCAAATGTTGGCCCTGACTGCGGTTGAGATGGTGCATTCTAAAGTTCCAATTTTCGATGACACGTTGGAGCATTTCGACTGGAATTTGGCGAATGACCTGCGTAATGTTGGCTTCTAATTCCTCAATCGTATTGGGTTTATAAATGTAGACTTTGGACATAACGTAGCCCCAAAGGAAAAAGTCTAGAGGTGTGATATCACATGATCTAGGTGGCCAATTCACTGGTCCAAATCGTGAAATTAAGTGCTCATCGAAATGTTCTCGCAATAAAGCCATGGTTGCACGGGCTGTGTGGCAAGTGGTGCCGTCTTGTTGGAACCAAATGTCATCGATATTACGGGCTTCAATTTCAGGCAGCAAATAATCCGATATCATGGCGCGGTAACGAGCACCATTCACAGTTACGTTCTGACCGGCCTCATTTTAAAAAAAATAGGGACCGATGATTCCACCGACCCATAAACCACACCAAACCGTTATTTTCGCTGGATGTAATGGCAGCTCTTGAACCACTTCGGGTTGTTCTTCACCCCAAATACGACAGTTTTGTTTATTAACGTAGCCGTTAAGCCAAAAATGGGCGTCATCGCTAAACAAAATTTTGCTTGAAAACATCGGATCTTCTTCAAGCCGTGCAAGAGCCCAAAGACTGAAACGATGACGCTTTGGAAGGTCGGCCGGCTTCAATTCTTGAACGAGTTGAATTTTGTCTGGTTTCAAATTAAGATTCTTACGTAAAATACGCCAGGTTGTTGAATACGACAAGCCAAGCTGTTGAGAACGGCGCCGAATCGATTCTTCACGGTCGTCACGTATACTCTCAGCTACCGCAGCTATATTTTCTTCACTGCGTGCTGGATGTGGTCTATTTGGTCGGGTATTATCCAATAATGAAAATTGGGTTTCAAATTTTTCGACTGTACGGCGAATTGTGCGTTCGGTGGGCCGATTATGTACACCATAAGTTGCTCTAAGTGCACGAAACACACTTCTCGCAGAACGTTGATTTTCATAGTACAGCTGAATTATTTGTAGACGCTGTGCTGGACTAAGTCTTTCCATGATGAAATGTCGAACAATACTGAAACAGAAAATGTCAAATTAGTTGTCACACTAAAAAAGTACCTATAAATGAATTACAAGTTATAAAGAGAAGACAATGCGAATAAAATTTGAGGCAGATAAAAGATGACTTCAACAATGATGGCGTCCACAAAACAGCTGATGCCGTCTAGTCTGAGATAAACGTGGTGTTGTCAGACAATATATTTGGATGAATTAATTGACCATCACTTGTAGTGAACACATTTTTGGTTCATATTTACTTTTGTTTGGACATTTATTCATGGTGGAGATATTTGTCATCCTCAAATTTATTATTTGTCCAGTCGTCGGTCTACTCGTACTAGATAGCTTGGCCTTAAGACGATAAAACTTATTTCACATGACTTTTTGACGTAACCACCAAAAGAAATGAATTTCAGTGAGCTCAGTATAAATGTAGCGTTTTTCTACACATCTTATAGCAGTTTGGCGACGCAGCCTCGGTTCATGCATAGCCACCTATGAGCGAAACGCTAAACCAAGGACAGTCTGCACAGAAATCGTTGTTTTTATTTCGAAGCCAGTACTAGTTCCAGAGCTGACTGCAAAGTTTTAATTACATCGCGTACTGATATGGAGTGATAAAAACTAGTAACGACTTATTTATTTTGATGCTAAACAACAAACTCGACAGGTTTATCATATCAGTACGCGATGATGTAACAAAAAAATGTCGATCTGCTTCCCTAACGGCCGACCGGCTGATTATAAAGACGGTCGATGATATATAACTACTCTTTGGTTTTATTGTCGTCACTATGTAAATTTGTAACATTAATCTTTTTTTATAAACAGGTGCATATTCAGAGTGGTTCTTAGACCATCCAGAAAACCTAGGTCACGTATTTCCATTGATTTTATCTACCTTAGCAAATGCTGAAGTTTCTACGAGCTCGACAATGTCCTTGAAAAATATATGTCACGATTGTCAAAAACATTTAGTACCATATGCTGATCATATCCTAATGTCGGCCCAGGTATGTTAAATGAATTTCATATAGTCTCATGTGGTGACATACATACAAGGTATCCCAGAATAATTTTTCAATTTCTCAGATGCATATGTCGACGTCAAACGTTGAAATCCGTCATTCCCTGAAATGCCTAGTCAGTCCCCGTATTGCCGGCAAACACAGTTTGATTATACAACGTTTGACTAAGCATTTAAGTCATTCCCTGAAATGACTGAACAATTTCAGTCAAACACCGTAACAACCACAACTTCGTTACTGCATTCGCCTATTTTAGTCAAACGCTGTAATCAATACAATGTTGCTCCAATGAAGTACATAATATAACAAGGTACTACTTTATCAATAATACAGGTATTAAAAGAAAAATAATCAAGCATGAATTAATCTTGTCTTTTTTATTACATTATTGTTTTTTAATCAAGTATTTACTATATATACGAAATCCAGCAACTGGATGCTGCTGTTGAGCAAGGTTATTTACGTTATAATTTAGGTTAGGTTCACAAAATTATAAAAATTAACTTATCTCCTTTAACTCATCTGTATTCCAAGGTTTTTTCTTATTCACACTGTCATAATATTCACTTGTAAAACAATTCTGAATGCTACGATATTTTTACAAACACAGAAAAGACGTTGTGCTTACTCAAGCAAATGAACACAAAACTGGTACAATGAATGAGTGAATCAGTCTAAATGCCGTAACGAAGTTAATGTTGTTACGGTGTTTGACTGAAATTGTTCTGTCATTACAGGGAACAACTGAAATGCTTAGTCAAACGTTGTATTAATCAAACTGTTGCGGTGTTTGCAGGCAATACGGGGGCTGACTAGGCATTTCAGGGAATGACGGATTTCAGCGTCTAACGCCGACACATATATTAGTAAAAAAGGTCATTGCTTTCAATAACAATGCCCTGTCTGATGGGTCTCACATGTTTGTGCCCTTGTATAGCAAGTAACTCATTTAGATAGCTAAGACGGACTTACCTTCATGCCATACTACCGAAAAAACGTATTCTTGTTTGATTTCAATAAAGTGAGCTCTGTTTGAGGAAAACAGTCTTGTTTTAGTACAGTTTTATCAATCCTGCCGCTGGATCAAGTATACTGATTCTGCTATTTTGGAAGACAAATCTCAAGATATAAATGTTCAGATATCTTGATCACATTTTAGGTTTTCTTTGAACTTTTTTGGAATCGGCTACAATGCAGGAATGGCATTGAAAGAAGACTGATTTTCCTAAAAACGACTCATTTCGTCTAAATTCAATAAAATTACATTATTTTCAACAAAATCTTCAAGAAAGACATATTTCTTTAAGAAATATCAGCAGTATTGTGTTAGGGCAAGTCCGACTCTGGCGATCTAAATAACCTATTTGTTTTTGATGGAGATTATGTGAGGTCCCAACTGGTTACTGTTCTGTCAAAATTTCGTTGAATATAGTGTTGTTCAAAGGTTATTCAAGAAAAACCGATTTCCAGTAGTGTACTTAAGGGGGTTGTATCTCCACAGGACATCCCCGTAGGATATAAGAAAATATGGGGTTATTTTGTTTTGTGTGCATGCGCAATCGCTGTTATCCATATTTGACATTTAAGTCAGTGGTTATGTTCAGTGGCACCGAGTTACTACGAGCTTGCGCTGTTGTGAAGTATGACAGCTTAGTCTGCTAGATTTTGTCTGAATGGGCCGCTTTGAAATTTTTCGAACTCTTAAGATTGATTGACAGTAGTCACGTATGTGAAATAGGTTATGCTGAGCTGTGCTAGTCAGCAGATTCAGTCTGTAGCGAACGATTTACGTATGCTGTAATGTATTTACTAATAACCATATGTTAGATGAATTGTTGTTATTCAGCGAATAATTATAGGCGTGTGAAAAGTCAGTCTGTAGTTTTTCCAGCATGGTGAGAATCTCTATAACATAAAATTGACCAACGCATGGATATTCCATAGATATCACAATTTGTTCCATTTTTCTGTGATTATTTTTGACAAATGACCGTTTGAACTGGTTTTTAGGTAGCTTTACTAAGTGGAAACTTGGAATTTGCTGAATGCCGAAGAATTATGTACAGTATAGGAAAGGTGCTTAGTGTTCTGCCTGTTGATAGGACAATGGAGTATTTAAACATAATCTTAGCACCTTCGTTTGAAGAGTTGCACAAATTGGCGAATGCTGAGCCGGTACGTGGATTTATAAAAGAATAGCTGGAAATCATTATAGATCTCAAAATGTCCTTTTGTTTTAAGTTTCTTCAGCACCAACTGAGTACAGAACATGAATTTTATTCGTATTTTCTGGAGCATAAGGGAAGATGCAAAACTATTATTTAAAAAAATAGGTGAATAATTATTAAAAACATTTTGTTTCTAAAATAAATTAAACAAACCACCTTCATTAATATCACTTAATCATATGCAAGGATGTTGTTATTCATGGTTGCTGTGATAGATGCTAGGCAACCAGCCGACTGCTCTGCCTAACTCATTCTTTGATAGTATGAGCGTCGGTCGCCTTAAGAGAAATCAAAATTCCCAGAATTGTTTTTATTATCTAGATCAAAAGAATTACAAGCACAAATGTTTCTGAGGCAGATCCTGTCGATATCATGTATCTTGGCATGATTCCAACAAAAACTGCACACGGACTCATATTCCAAGCTACTACAGATGGCTCTTGGACCAAAAAGTATGATAAACTGCTGTTCAGTGTCGGTAATGAGGTATGACTTTGGTGATAACAGACAGCAGCAGTGACGTCATCATAAAGGATGTTTTTTTTAGAGGTATAGAACTTTAAATTGCAATAAAACAACGATGGATTATTCGATTGACATGAATTCTTTTTATTCGAAAGATAATCTTGTGGCATTACATTTACTGCCAAAGCTGGCTCGGATGTAGTCCAATCTGGACGTCCAATTTTCGATGACTTTTTCCAACATTTGTGGCCGTATATCGGTAATAACATGGCGAATGTTGTCTTCCAAATGGTCAAGCGTTGGTGGCTTATCCGCATAGACCAATGACTTTACATAGCCCCACAGAAAATAGTCTAGCGGTGTTAAATCACAAGATCTTGGAGGCCAATTCATAGGCCCAAAACGTGAAATTAGGTGGTCACCAAACGTGTCTTTCAATAAATCGATTGTAGCACGAGCTTTGTGACATGTTGCGCCGTCTTGTTGGAACCACAGCTCCTGGACATCATGATTGTTCAATTCAGGAATTAAAAAGTTAGTAATCATGGCTCTATACCGATCACCATAGACTGTAACGTTCTGGCCTTCATCGTTTTTGAAGAAGTACGGACCAATGCTTCCACCAGCCCATAAAGCGCACCAAACAGTCAGTTTTTTTTGATGTAACGGTGTTTCGACATAGACTTGAGGATTAGCTTCACTCCAAATGCGGCAGTTTTGTTTGTTGACGTAGCCATTCAACCAGAAGTGCGCTTCATCGCTAAACAAAATTCGCTTATGAAAATCGGGAACAACGGCAATCCCGTTTTGGCCCCATTCAACGAATTTACGCCTTGCTTGATGATCGTTTGGCTTCAATTCTTGCACGAGTTGGATTTTGTAAGCACGCAAACCAAGATCCTTCCGCAAAATCTTCCATAAAGTGGATGGACACAGATTCAATCCCTGTGCTGGATAGCGGATGGACTCATTCGAGTCGTCCTCAGTGCTACGCTCTACAGTAGCAATAGCTTCTTCTGTACGCACCGTACGGCGTCTCTGGGAATGCGAGTTATCAATTAGAGTAAACGTCGTGCGAAAACGTTCCATGGTTAATCGAATTAACTGCTCTGATGGACGATTTTGTCGATGATAAAATGGACGTAGTGCGCGATACGTATTCCTCACAGAACCAGTATTTTCGAAATAAAACTGCACAATTTGCAAGCGTTGTTCAGGCGTGAGTCTATTCATGATGAATTGCCAAACCAAACTGAGAATAAATCACTTGACAGCTGTCAAATCGGTCGCCATCTTCAAAAGTAATGCCAACTTAAAGTTCTATACCTCGAAAAAAAACACCCGTTATGTTGCGAGAACAAACTGTTAAATCAAAACAACTTTTATTACTCATATATTGACTATTCTACATATAATCATTCAAAATAAAAATATTCCATCTTCCCTATTCTTTCATACACGTTTAATAGTTTGCATTGTCAATCTTCAGTGTTTTGTCTAAAGTGTAATATTTGAGTTTTCTTTATAAGAAGTATTAAACTTATTATTGAACATGCACGTCAGATTTTCTCCAAAAGTGGTGACCTGACAAACATTTTCCAAGAAAAACTATTCTGCAAAATTAAATACTTCATTTAAAAATAGTATAAAGTCACTGGCTTAGAAAATATGTTTCGTCTGTTTAGCTCAAAATATGCCCAGTGTCTACACCCCTGGCGTAGTTTGAGCCGGAGTGTAGTTGCTTGTGATGCACATCCATGTAAAAATAATCATAAATAGGTACTTATCCGTTTTACAAATACAACCTCAATCCGTTATTTTAAATATTCTAGGAACCGAGTTCATAGGAATCTTTTATGTTATATTAGAACATACTTGTGCTCTAGAAATGATACCTCTGTATTTTAATCACTCTGTGTTTTTCCAGACACCATCAATAACTAGCTCAGTAGTTACCAGATTGAGCGTTTTGGTGTCTTTATTCATTTCATTGCATGTTGAAACAGAAGAGAAGGTAGAGCAACCTTTGCTTGTAGTTATGCAAAATACTATGCCTCTCTATAGGATCATTGCGGAAAAATATTGCCGAAATCCTGACGTCATGGAGGTAATACCTGCGTTGTTTTCTGCAATGAAGATATTTGAACTATCCACGTTTCAGGATTTGAGTGCTATATTTAAATATGGCGTGACAACATTAAAAGACGATTGTAAACCCCTCCTCAACGATATGCTGCAAATAATAGTAACTATATACAGGGAGGTTCCACAAGCGAATATTTTAGTTGTAGCTAAAACTGTAAGTATATGCAAATGATTTTCAGTATGCCAAGTATTATCTGTTCATGTAATTGATGTGAATAAATTCTTATTATTATTTTTACTACAAAATTGATTTTGGTTGTATTTCCGTACATAAAAATAGCATGAATGTGACTTAACCCATGTTAGATTAACCCGCTAGATTTAATGTTGATAGTAGTGCTCATAACACAAATAAGCTGATATAGTACCAAGCACAAGATTGGAATTTGACCACCGGTCAATTTTCATGTTGTGCCCAGCTGCTTCAAGCACAGTCCAAAGCGTCTTTTCAATTGGTTCAGACACGTTTTCATGGTACAGGGTAGACCAGAAAGACTTACGAATTTCAAAACCGCATTACTCGTGACAGGCACGCGGGAGCGGGACACGGGTGGTGGGGATAAGTAGCTTGGTGCTCGGAAATTTAGTCGCCATGGTGCGTTTCACCAGTGAGCAGCGTGTGTACTGTGTTAAGGCTTATTACAAAAATGGAGATTCGTGCAATATTCTCTTCTTTCCCTTCGTCTGTTTCGCTCTGAGTTTAGTTTACATGATCTAAATCAATGTCCTAGCGGAAATGTGATCAGGTCGTGGGCAGAAAGTTCGAGTCAACCGGTTCGACACTGAAACCTGCGGGGCGTCCAAGGTCGATGTGAATAGAGGAAACTGTAAGCTTAGTTGCGACGTCCGTACGGCAGGAATTCAAACCGCAGGACGACCATCTACAGTCTATACCGTGCGTTTGCCGAAACAATCTTATAGCGCTTTCCAAGTTTGAACAACATTTTTTTTCTGATAAAGCTCATTTTTTATTTGAGTGGATTTGTTATCAAGCAAAATGACCCTATTTCTTCGAAATTTCCACAACTGCATAATCTTGAAGCCTACCATAGCAGGGCCTGGTTTCAATAAGATGGCGCGACATCCCATAGCACCAACGAGTCTTTTTTTTATTTTTTAATACCGAAGCAGCCGCGCAGGCAGAAACCTAAATGCCGAGACACCGCGGCTGCTATGATGATCCAAAAGAAATTTTGTTAATCCGATTTCAGAACTGCCTAAGGTTAGTAGAACTGGGAAAAGGTTCCTCTTATAGATTGTTCCACAATCTCGAAGCCCACTGGACAAAGGAGCGGTAGTATCGGCCAGTTCTGGATGTACGAAGTTCAACACGGTTAGGATGGGAGGCCAAAGTCAGGCGGGCCTGTCTGGCAGGCACATCGCGCGACGGCATCATGGAAGAGAGCTCTGAGGAGCAAAGCCCGTTGGTGTAGCGGTAGAAGAGAGCTAGATCGCCGACGGCTCGCCGGTGCGAAATGGTCCCAAACTGTTATCGGTCAGTCGGACAGCCCTAAGTACTTCTTAGCCCTAAAAAAATAGCCTAGCTTTTTCCCAGCAGCTGCCGCTATTGACGAGACGTGTTCGTGCCAGATCAGGTCCTCGGTGATCTGGACTCCGGCTAGCCGAAATGAATGGCACTTTGGCAGAACTCGCCCATCCATCGAAACCAAATGAGCACTAGGACGCTTTTTGTTCGTCAAGGTACAGTACTGTGTTTTCTAAGCATTGAACTGTACAAGATTGTTGCATCCCCAAGCAGTGATAACCCCCAGGTCTCTCGTTAGAAATGAAGTCGTTGCTAGTCTTCTTTTTTCCAGCTCAGCGGCAGAGATGGGCTTCTCGCTCTGAATTCCTGCATGTAGGGTGCTGTCATCAGCGAAGCTGTGGATTGGGTTGATCGTGCAGGAACGGAGGTCGTCGATATGTAAGAGGAACAGAATCGGAGCCAAGACCGATCCCTCGGGAACACCCGCGTTGATGAAGTGAAAAAGTGTGGGATGAAGAGGAGAACCCGTCAGTTACGACGGATATCGTGCGGCTAGGGATAAAGTCAGCCACCCATCTGCAAAGCTTTTCTGGCAGGCCATAGGATGGAAGTTTGCTTAAGAAGGCAGCGTGCCACAGCTGATCGAATGCTTTCGTGATGTCTAGAGCAACGACATGAGCCTTACCACAAGACTAGATGAGTTTACTCCACAATTTCGTGACGTAAGCTAGGAGGTCCCCTGTGGATCGGTAGTGCCGGAAACCATACTGCCTGTCGCTAATCAAGCTGTGACGTTCGAGGTAGTCCAGAAGTTCGCGATTTATGCACCTCTCCATCACCTTACTTATCACAAAACGCAGAGCTATAGGCCTGTAGCTGTAAGAGTCAGTCTTAGACCCTTTTTTGTATGGGTTGGACATGAGCAAATTTCCAGTTTTCACCAGGGAAGGTGCCGGATTCATAAGACATCTGGAAGAGACGCGAAAGAACTGGAGCAAGCTCCGCTGCACACCTCTTCAGTATAATTTCAGTAATCAAGTCCGGACCAGAAGCTTTGTTGATGTCGAGCGGCAAGAGCTCTCGTCTTACGGTCTTATGCCTGAATGTTACCTCCCGCATAGTGTAGGGAACCCTTTGAATTGACGGCACTTGGGCGTCGTGGGGTACGTCCATGGTGGAGTTGGCGGCAAAGATCTTGGCAAGCACTTCCGCCTTGGCCTTTGAGTTGGATACAATCGTTGCATCCTGACACGTAAGTGGTGGATGGCTACTGTGTGAGAAGTTCTTTTCAATCTGCTTGGCCAGCGTCTAGAAAGACCGACTGCCAATGTGCTGCGACATTACCCTGTACCTAACTTGTATATCGTGCTGATGATTTTTGGCATTGCAAACCGCTTCGTTGTATTTGTTTCTGGACTCGACGTCAGCTTGTCTGTTCTCTACAGTGGGGTTTTGTAAGAAGGTTCTGTGTGCTTTGATCATCTGCTGGCGAGTGTCACACGATTTGTTAGACCAGCCGTTGAACCCTGGTTTAGACACTTCACTGTATGAGGGATGTATTTCTCCATTCCGACGTGGATAATTTTGGTTATCGAATAACAGACAGCCGACGCATCCGCGTCAGCGAAACAGACAGTTGTAATCGAAATGTTTAGTAGAAAACTGATATCGGGACTAGGGGACATTCCCTGGCTTCCCCGGAGCCCAGGATGAGCCGCGTTTACGCCAATAAACTGACGACGATTGCCCAGCTCAAGCACATCATTTCCGAGGAAATGTCCGCTATCCCACGAGCAATGTGTCAGTGAGTTGTCACGAATTTTGAAGTCGAGATTCGAGGAGTGCGTCTCACATCGCAATAATATAAAATTCCCATGTGTCTACTTTATTAAAGATATAAATTATCCCTCCTACGCTTTGTAATTGTTTTCTATGATTTTTTTAAATCTGTTCAATTTAATAGTCCACCCTGTATTTTTAATAAGTAGTTACACTCATGAATGAATCATTCTGATATACTGGTTCCACCATTTTGAAAATACAGTAATTCTGATGATTTTGTAATTAGCGACCCGAAAAACCTCCGGATATGGATTTTCAGCAATAGTGCTAGTCCGTCGCTGGCAAACCACACCATTATGTGAGACCCAATTAGTTACTATGCTGTCCTAATTTCGTTGGATTATACAATATTGAACTAGAGATATTTGACAAAACCGGCGTTCTTTAGCGGCCTCTATCTCCGAAACAGGGATTTCAAAAATCATTAAAAGACAAAATAGCCTAAAAACATCCTGTGCAGTTTAAAAACATGTGAAATTAACGTTGTGTCCTTTACTTTCAGATTTTAATATTATTTGGTAGAGAAGATGAGTTGACCTCAATGAACCAACAACTTCTGCACGAAATTGTGAATGTAACGTTACAAATGTGCGCTCAGTATAGCACAACCAATCAATTATCAGAGAAGGCCGATGTTTTAGAGGGATTTTTCTCCTTGTTGGCCAATTTAGTCAAAAAGGTTCCTCATTTAATCAATAGAGGCGGCATTGATACTTCTGCCCTGTTCCAGTGTGGTTAGTATTTAGCGTATAAATATTAAAGATAAGTAACTTATACACTAGCCAGAAAAAGAGTTACAGGCAAAAAATGTGTGAAAGCGTTTTTGACTTTCAATGGGTGAAGAAAATACTTGCGACAGGTCCGAAGAATACGAGACCTGTGTGGCCTTATACTTATAGCAACTACTGAAAGGAATACTTTTCATTCAGTTTTAAGATGTATTACTTTTCTGGCTAGGTGAGAAATGCAAAAAGCCGCTTATTTGACATTCAAGGGGTGAAATCAAGTCCTTCGACGGGTGCGAAGATAACGGGATCTACGTGACATTATAGCTACTAGTTAAAGGTACACTTTTATTCATACTTAACCTGTAACTCTTTTTCTGGCTGAGTGGGAGATTGCATAAAACTGCATTATCGATGATGTGGGGATATAAACCACTCCTACGTCAGGCAGTAAGCAATTAATGTTCTTCTACGCCCACATATAAATGATGTACTTTATACATTTTCATTCTGCAACAATTCTGTAAGCATACCTCTTCCTAAATATTTTTGGCATTCACTATCGTTTTAACGCCGTCTAAGCTGAGCTAGAAGTACTGTGCAGTCATTATAAGCTCAGTAGTTGGCACATAAAAATGGTTGCTTAAAATTGGCTGCTAACTTAACGCGAATGCCCGGAAGAATTGGTTACCAGGAACTGACTGCTAACTTTACACCTGACACAAATATCATTCGTTTCAGCAATCCTGGCTTTAGTATTGCCTGAAATTCAAACTTTGAAAGCTGTAGCCAGTTTCTTGGTCCATTTTATTTCACAAAGTCGAGAATCCTCGCAAGCAGATGTTGTACAAACTTTTGGAGAAAGTTTAGTATTAAGGATACTAATGAATTTGGGTAAGTTCAACTGTTTGTGCTTATCCGTCACCTTTTTTCTTGGCCAATGAGCAAAACATGTATCAGTAAAAGCAGATTTACCGATTTATCGGTTGCCAATGACAGCCCTGTTCCAAATGCAGTTGTATGTGTCTCATTTTTGTACAAAAAAAGTACAGAGACATTCACATCAAACACCCAGAACTAAGAAAGTCGTATAGTACAGACAAATGGTGGTTATATCAAAAGAAGACAAACAAGGCAAATAAAATTAGAGAAATACTGGCCAAATCAAAAACGTGGTGTCCAATCACGGTTTGTTATTTGGCTTGACATTTACTGTTACTACAAATTTACTTTTGTTGAGACATTTATTGATGGGGGATAGATATTCATCAGTTATATTTAGTACGTTGCATGCTGGAAAATATCCTTGGAGATATATAGATCAGAGCAGTGACAAAAGGTACCAGGTATTCTAATAATTCTTTCACATTTACTAGTGGATCCCATAATTAGTTGGATTCTCAGAAACTGCATTAGATATTAGATCTGATGTACATATTTTAGCAAACATGATCGCTGAAATGCGTGTTGAGTCAGATATTTTATAATGTATGCGGAGAAATAGATGTAGGGAATATGAAACAATAATACAACTTTGAATTTTAGCAATTCTTTTAATTCAGTAACAGTATTAATATAACAAGTTCTTAGTATTTTCCGACAACATGGCAATACTGTATAGGTGCTTCTTCGGCCATCTAAGAGCGAACCGCCAAATCAAGGACGATCCGCTCATAGGTCGCTGTGTTTTTTGCTGCCGCTATGAGGTGCTAGTGTAGTTCTAGATCAAACTAAACAGTTGATGGAAAAAATACAGATTTGTTAGAAAGGTAACCAACGGCGGGAGGGGGGAGTGGTATTCGGCGATTCACGAGGCTTCAGCACTTAATTAAGCATCGCTTCTGTTAATGCTCGTGTGACAATTGCAGAGCGGGGAGTGGGATACGTCTAAGGGGGCGCACGTCTCACGATTCAGGTCTAGCACGATAATTTTTACACCTGGACACAGCAATATATACCTTTTTATTAGAAAAATGGCAGACTTGGGCGCCTTAGGAGGTGCCCGCTCGCAATCCGTCCTTAGAAGTAACATGTTTTTCACGATACTTCACGTTTCGACGTCTATTGACGTGAACAGCTGATTACCATGTGACATATTTGTCTGATTGGTGCTATAACCTAACCCCCAAATACCCCACGTTTAAAGGGACAAGGTCATGTTTTCACCGCATAATACACTGTAAACGGGTACAGAATAGCATTTGCGCACAGAACAATGGTTGTCTATAGTCTAAGTGCTTGGCTAAGTCGTTAACATAATTGTTAGTGAAGCCGACCGGCGGATTTCCACCATTCCTATTGGTATAGCCACTATTTGATAAGGATATAGAACAAACGTGTTGAAATCATGGAGAGGAAGGAGTTTTCAATTATAAATTATTATCGCGTACTAGCTTAATATGTACCATTAACATGGTTATGTTTCAGGAACGACGGCCCCAAGATCTTCAGTAGACATTTTCGGTGATGTTATTCTGGCTTTGAATAAAAAATACTGTGATAATTTAAGTAGGTGGTTAAATTCACTTTTAGCTCAAGAAGGATTTCCTTCATCTAGGATAAGTAATCAACAAAAGGAGAATTTTATTAAATCAGTTTTAAGGTATAGTATAACCGCATTTTGTTAATTAGGTCTTTACACTTCTATACAGGGTGTTAGCAACGTGAATACCAACTTTTAAGAGGTAATAATTTGAATGGTTTTTGAGTTACTCGCAATTTTGTGAAATCCTGAAAAGATGCCAAATTCATGCGATAAAGCAATAACGAAGAACAACTCCTTTGTTCCCTTATATTTATCATTTTCTTGATGATATTCCTCATATAAAACCAGTTTCCAAATTATCGAAAGTATGTGACAACATTATAAAAATAATATTGGTTTACTGTATAGTTTAATTTTCCGGTGTTTCGTGGCTTTTCGCACCAATGTGTGGAAAAATTTGGCACTGTATTTTCAAGTCATTGAAAAATATTATCCTCTTCTGCTCTTCCTTATGGCATATCATATGAAACGATACCACCAAAAGTTTTTCCTCAATAATCTAAAATATAAGATCAAGCAAAATGTTATCAAAATAACAAAAAAACAAAATCCACTTTTCGTGAAACAATGCACTTGCTATTCACAAAATAATTCATTCACCCGATAAAATAAAAAGTGTTATTTCTTTTGCATGTTCGTGTCATTGTTTCGAATTCATGTAGCAGTAGTGACTATATGAAGAGTGATTCGGTTTCATAGTACAGTGTAGCTTTTCTAAAAATTCACTGGGAAGATATGACAACTACTCAAATTCAAAATATTGCAAACACATGTCTAACTCACGCTTGAATTTTATTTGTGTACTTGTCCCTTATAAGACGAAACGACTTCTAAAGAGGATTTCGGTCGAAGGAAATGGTGTATCACAATTTTGTACTTCTGGGCGGTGCTGTCAGCTCTGAGATTTTGTAATGTTCTTGAAAATGTGAATTGAAAATCTATATATTAAATTTAATGTTTTTGCAATGTTTTGAGTTCACACAGTTGCCGTATCTTCCCAGTGAATCTATAAGAATGCTACATGCTATTGTGAAACCGAATCGCTTCTAGTAAACCGGGTGCTACCATAAGAATACGAAACAGGGGCAAAAATACATAAAAAATAACAATTTTGTCAAGTGCTCTGTTTCACGAATAGTCTTGTTTTTTTTGTAGTTTCGATCACATTCTGCTTCATCTAATATTTTGGATTATTGAGGAAAAATATATAGTGTATAACTATGCACGACATACCATAAAAAAGGGCAGAAGTGGAGTAAGTTTTTTCATTGATTATAAATTCCACTGTTGCCCAATTTTTTCATAAATTTGTTCGAAAAGCCATGATACCTCTGGAAAATCGAACCACTCAGTAAACCAACATTAAACACAGTGTTCCATTTTAATCTCTCTAAATATTTCGAAAACTGCCTGAAAAAGAAGATTCAAACAAAAGTTGTAAAGTTTCGCCAGGACAAATTTATGGTGACCTTGACAAATGACCTTTACTACTTCAAGGTCAAGTGAATATTTTCAAATATAACCCCCATTATTTCACACCAGAATTGAAAAGAAGAGCAAATTGTACTCTTGGCCATGACCTTGACCATTGTCCTTAAGGCCATTTCAAGGCCAAATCCAGACATCGCAAACAAGTTGCTCTTACAAAAATGTTCGACAGCGCAGTTGTAAGGTTTGTAGGAACACACAAAAGTGACTATGCGCTTCAAGGTCGAGTCAACAAGGAAACATTTATATATTGGAAATAGAAAAAGCAGAAAAAATTACGTCCAAATGTGACCTTGACCTCAGACCACAAACCTCACTCTGTGTTGTCGAACATTTTTGCTAGAACAAATTTCTTTTGATGCCTTGATTTGACTTCTAAATGGCCTTGAAGGCAATGGTCAAGGTGATGCTCAGACGTAAAATTTGCTCCTCTTTTTAATTCTAATGGGAAAAAGGCGGGTTCCATTTCAAAATATTCACTGGACCTTGAAAGAACCTTAAAGGCGGTAATCAAGGTCATTGTTACTATCATTTTGCGACCTTTCAACCTTACAACTTTTGTTTGAAACGATTTTTTCTAGAATGCGCAGTTTACGAAATACATATTTAGGTGGGGGAATTGAAATGGGACACTGTATTTTATAACGTAAACGCGATCTTTTGATAACTTGGTGTTATTTGTCTAGGGAGAATACACAGCAAGACAAATGACCAAAATAAGAGAACAAAGGCTTCGCTCTTCATCATTGAACAAGCGTTGGTTTATCACATGATTTTGACTTTTTCTAGGATTTCACAAAATTGCGCGTAACTCAAAAATGGTTCGACTTTGTACTAACGTATATGTCACTCATTTTGTTCCACATAAGGTGTCATATCGCCCCTTAAAAGGTTGGTATCGACTTTCCGAACTAGAAATAGCTGTTGTCGTTATTTTTTAATATCTGTGAAATCTGATACCGTTACTTTTCTGATATTAGCGATTTAAAAGCGTGACGTAATCACGACTTTCGAATAACGATGGGTGAGTTCCGCTGATCGGTCATGGTAAAGTATCGCACAATAATCAGTTCAGGTACATTGAGATGTAAAGCCATAATTACTCATATTTGTTAAAAGTTTTGTGTGTAGTGACGTGCAGAAAATATAATGCATAATTGATCGCACACATACTTTTTGGAAGTAATTTGCAATTTTTGCATCTAATGGATCGTCACGAGCGCATTCGCATTCCATACACATTCAAGTATTAGCGCCATTGCCGTGAAGCGCCTAGTTACCAAAGTTGTGATCACGATATGAATTTTCACGGTATTTGGTAACAGCCGTGATTTAGAAATATTAGTTACTAAATCACAGGTATTGAAATATCTGCCACCACTTTTCCGAACGCCCTGTATAGACGTATTTCTACCTATGTAAGGTGATTGAAAAACAATAGCAATATTTCATACAAGCACGATCACCAAAACATGCATGCAATTATAAAATGATATCCAAAATACCATCTCTATATAAAAATAACCATGGTAAAAGTACTCTTTATTGAGAGTGTGAAAAGTTTGGTAATTATCGGAATACTTGATAATAGTGGTATTTTCGAATTGAAATCAAGGTCAACATTACCCTCTTTAACATTTTCATAATCTACTTATAATGTAAAAGAAAATCTAGCATTCAAATGCTTAATATGCGAGTTCAGTATTTAAAATCAACGAAAGAAAGTGTAACAAACCTTCTGACTCCTAGAACCCATTACTATTCTATATGTAAACTGTTGATGCAAAGCAGGAGTAATTGTAGGTTCGTAGCTCAATGCTTATTAAGAAGAATGTGGTTAGTAGTCAAAAGAATAATTAGTGAAATACTAAAAAAATTATATTTCTGATTCTAATGTCAACAGGTGATCAATGTCCCCTGAGCAGGTGTCAGCTGCTGAGCAAGATAATTTCAAAACTTTATAGTTTCATATTTCCACCAGTCTACATGTTGTAACAGTTTCGATATCAAGAAGATACTGGTGTCACAAATGTGAAGAGATTTTCAAATAGCATAATCAACATGTCATAATTTGCTAGCTAAATACGATGATTTTTTAAATGTAGAACCTTGTAATTAAGGCCACAAATGGTTTTCGATATGTGAGCCTGCAACATGTATTAAACACAATTTTTATTGTAACATCTAAAAAGGGTAAAAACAACTAAGCAATGTGATATTTTTGAAAATAGGAAAGTTACACACAGTTGCCTTCTAACAGTAAGTAGAATGATATAACTACACACTAAGTTTTATTTCTGTTTATACTTCATCTTGATCTCCCTTATGGGTTCAGATTTAGGGCCGTATCGTCAGTCGCTCCTACAACTGTGGGACGCCTTTATGGGCTCTTTGATTTTCATAGTTTTTCCTGCGTCTGTTTTGAGGTTATGTTACAAATATCTATTTGCATCCGAATGTTCATAGACCCTATCCCACGAGTATCCATCACGCTTTGACGTCTATTGAGGTGAACAGCTGATCAGCAAGTGACATTTTTGTGTTAGTCTGCAACGTTGGCAGTAATGAATCAGGTATAAATCTAGTAAAACGTGTCGCGTTTTGTTTTTTGTATGCAAATGAACTTTTCTAAATAAAAGAGCTGTTCGCAAGTACAGTTTGACAAATCTAGCTTGGTCTCCCAAGGTCAGATGCGCGGTAGACACGGCGGAATTTAGTGGGGACACCCCGGTACCAACCAGCAGCGATCAAGGTAGCATCGGGGGTACAGCACCAGTAAAAATTTTAATTGCGTTAGCTATAGGTCGTTTTAATTTATACTCGAAGGTCCTGAAAAATGGAAAGTAAAGTTGCAAATAAAGTTTTAAGTGGTCAAAGCCTAGAAATTGTTGCCTCGGTATTGAGATTCATACACAGAGTAAGTATAATTACGATTACAATAAATTACAATTACTATTGCGATGATTACTATGATTATGATTATTATTATTATGCAGATTCGAAAATTTAAGCAACAATTTTGCATATAGTTTTAACCATTAATGAAAGTACAATACAGCACTTTATCACAGAAAGATTTCAAATTATCGTCAAATTATCTTTAGCCTTCGTGATGAGTATATATATATATATATATCTTGAGACGTGGTCATTGTCGTAACGTAAATAACATTTAGCAACATCCTCACATACTACTCTCCTGATGATGATTGCAAAGACCATTGAAAGCTAGAGAGATTAAAAAACTATAAAGAGTCCTCCTTGCTTAAATTTTGTCGAAGTACCCAACAAAAAGAGGAAGCTTTAATTTTTCACCTATATATATATATATATATATATATATATATATAGTAATGGACAAAAGTATATAGACAAATATGAATATTTACCTGAATACCTTTAGAAAACGAATTCATACTTCATTGCTTCATAAACAAATGCGTTATTAGTAGAAAAACTCAATTCCTTGTTTTTACATTATCTACAATGAACACAATACAAGTCTGAATATAAGCCGTATTTTATGAAGGACAAAAATATGTAGACAAATTCTTTTCAACATTAGTTTAGTATAGTTTCGTGTCAGAAGAGGATTAGTTTGTGTTCATCAAGTATTGTGGAATAAGTTGAGTGATTTTAAGACCATGCCGCGAGGTCCAGAAATTTCTTTCGATGTGAAAACTAAGATTATTGAGTTATACAAAGATGGTCAACGTCAAGTCGACATTGCCAAAAATTTAAAGCTGAAGCGTAAAGCAGTTTGGGCAATATTGAACAAATATAAACAAAAAGGTATCTTGGAAGCCTCTAAGAGAAGTGGTCGGCGTAGAAAACTAAATGCTAGATCAGTTAGATTAATAAAAGTAAGTGGATCAGGTGGTGTTCATTACGTTAGACGTCCTAGTGGACAAAGATTGAACCCCAAAGACACTTTGCCTACTGTCAAACATGGAGGCGGGTCTGTTATGGTTTGGGGGTGCTTTTTGGGGTTTGGGATGGGACCTTTACATATAATAGATGGCATTATGGATAAGTTTGTATACACAGACATACTAAAGCATGTCATGTTACCCTATATGGAAGACAATATACCCTTAAGATCAATCTTCCAGCAAGATAATGGACCCGAAGCACACTTCAAATCTCGCAAAGAAATTCTTTCTGGATGAAAAAAAAAACAGTTCTCAAATGGCCTGCACAGTCTCCCGATATAAACCACATTGAAAATCTATGGGAATACTTAGATAAGCAAATACAAGATAAACATTATTCAAACAAGGATGAACTTTTTGCCGCTTTAAAGCAAAAGTGGAGACAGATTGATGAATCCTATATCAAGAAACTTCTACAATCTATGCCGAGACGATGCCAGGCGGTGACGGATAATAATGGTTATGCTACAAATTAACACAAAAATGGTTGGTTTTCTATAATTCAATGAACTTTGCTTCTATTTTCTATAATTGTTTTGCTTTGTCTATATATTTTTGTCCTTCATAGTTCCAGTGTTTTTCAATTAATTTTTTATTGAAAGGGAGTCTAATGAATTTATTTATGTACAAGTGAGTATTCTGCTATAACGAATTATGTATACCGGTTGGTGTATTAATAAAACAAGTTAAAAAAGAAATACACCACAATATTAATTTGACTATATACTTTTGTCATTACTGTATATATATATATATATATATATATATATATAAATGACATAGTATTGTTCACAAACTACTTGCCCATTTGAGCAGCGGGGAGACCTAACATCTTGGTTGAATCGCATCTCAAAGCCTGTGTACAAAGTGGGTCTTTTTTATTCAAAACTATTTTAAATTATAGATACAAGAACGGGTCTCTGCAGCTACAGGTGTCAGTATGAGTACCATCAAACGCATTAAAAAGGAAGCGTAACTGAGGTTTTTTTTTTGGTGAGGGGGGAATGCGTTTACGCACCATACCATAGCCCGAGCTACGGCGTGTGTGGGACTCCAGGTTGTCTTGAGGAGACCACCTAATACCCACTAAACCCTAACCTCCGCGTGGCCCGACTCATCAGTGTCTCGGTAGGCCATGTGTTGTGCGTGACCTGCGGTCTGCTACAACGTCTCCTCATGTGTTTCAGTCTCTGGGAACGCCGGGTTGGTTCCCTTTACCTCGCACATTCTATCGGTGTCGTTAAGCGATCTTCGATAGAGGGTCTGCTGGGTTCTCTTGAAACTCTTGTTTTCGAAAAATCAAGAGTTTCAAGTCCTCTTACCTATACAGGGTGTTTCAGTTTATTGTTGCATAACTTTAAGATTCGATAGAACTTTTAAAATTAATGCATAAAGTCTATATAAACATGGGTCGAAAAATGCGTGGCTCCCGAAATACAGGGTGTTTAAATTTACTTTTTAAAATAGTTTTTTTTTAAATATTTCGAACAATATTTGATGTATAACAGTGAAAATTGGTATACGAGGGTTTTTTGGTACGACAAAATGAACCATGGGCATAGTTTTACTGTAGCCGCTAGAGGGCGCTCTCTACTGTACCTGTAGTGTATTAAAATGACCGAAATTTTTTTCTTAGTGCAATTTTTTGCTTTTTGAATAAAAAAAAATGATTCTTCGCACTTTTCAACATAAAAAAGCTCTCTTGTGAGTTTTCGTTATAGTTAGCCGTTTTTGAGATATTTCGATTTTTAATTATTTATGGGAAAATAATATTTTCGATTTAGGCATTACAATTAATTAAGATGATCGTTTAGATTGTGTTTTTAAACACAGCAATAATTCCTAACTCCAAATAAACACAAAAAAACAGAATATTAATTTGTTTAATTCTCCAATATTATTTTTAACAAATTAAATTAATTATTTACAACTTGAATGCTATTGGATAGTTAGGACAAACATACAAAATCTAAAGTAGTTGCTCGAAATGTAAACCCAATTGTTCAATACACAATTCACATCTCCGAATGATCGAACGTGGTATAGCATTATTCAAATAAGGCCTTATTTCATCACATGCATTCCTGATTCTGTCTATTAGCATATCTCTTGTGGTTACGGAAGTCTGGTACACTTCTTAGACCTCTTTTAGAAATCCCCACACAAAGAAATCTAATGGATTTAGGTCAGGGGGTCGTGGAGGCCAGGCGACTGGTCCTCCACCGCCGATCCATCTTTCTGGATAATTTTCGTCCAGCCAGCTTCTAACTATTCTCGAATAATGAGCTAGACAACCATCAAGCTGGAACCAGGCCAATCTTCTTAAATCTAACATAACATCATCCCACATATTTGCATGTTCAGCATTTAAAAATTCCAAGAAGATCGCAGCATTTAACCTTGCAGGCAAAAGGTAGGGTCCAAATAGTCGATTACGGTAGATACCAATCCACACGTTCACACTAAATTCATGCTGAAAGTTTCTTTCCCGAACTGCATGCGGATTTTCATGCGACCAAATATGTTGATTACGAAAATTTACCACTCCACGTCCAGTGAAGCATGACCCATCGGTCCATAAAACGTTACTTAAAAACTCCCTATTATTATCAGTTCAATCAAGAATCCACTGACAAAATGTGATTCTTCGTTTTCCGTCCCCTGGCTGTAGTCCTTGCACAGGTTGCAAATGGTAAGGACGTCTATGGTCATTTCTAAGAACACGGTGAACATGGCTTGCTGAAATTCCCAAGGCACCAGAAACTCTCCTAGCACTTGTGGTCGGATCCCTATCAAAGTCACGAAAAATCATACGGGTAAATCTGCGCTGACGAACATTTATGCTTTGATCCCTCTGGGGATTTCCAAAACCATTTTCAATTATTTGGCGATGCACTCTTACAAATACTGAGCGAGTTGGATGTCGTCTGTTTGGAAATCTTCGTGCGTATTCTCTGGCTGCTTCTGCTGCGTTTCCATTTACAAAGCCATACACAAAATGAATATCCGCTAACTCTTGATTGGAGAATAAAAATGGCATTTTTATAAAACTTACAAAAAAAACAGGTAAGAGAAACTAAATTTCGTGCATTCACAATTGCAGTAAAACGTTTCAGGTTTCAACAGACAACAAAACTAACTGTCAACTAATCGACGTTTAACCTTATTCTGCTTTCAATTTCAAAAATATTTGCAGGCACAGCCTACTTCTAAAAATTATCGAGATATTGACTTTTTAACGTTATTGGTTCCAGCTTGATGGTTGTCCAGCTCATTATTCGAAATAGTTAGAAACTGGCTGGACGAAAATTATCCAGAAAGATGGATCGGCCGTGGAGGACTAGTCGCCTGGCCTCCACGATCCCCTGGCCTAAATTCATTAGATTTCTTTGTGTGGGGATTTCTAAAAGAAAAAGTGTACCAGACTCCCGTAACCACAAAAGATATGCTAATAGACAGAATCAGGAATGCATGTGATGAAATAAGGCCTTATTTGAATAATGCTATACCACGTTCGATCATTCGTAGATGTGAATTGTGTATTGAACAATTGGGTTTACATTTTGAGCAACTACTTTAGATTTTGTATGTTTCTCCTAACTATCCAATAGCATTTTAGTTGTAAATAATTAATTTAATTTGTTAAAAATAATATTGGAGAATTAAACAAATCAATATTGTTTTTTTGTGTTTATTTGGAGTTAGGAATTATTGCTATGTTTAAAAACATAATCTAAACGATCATCTTAATTACTTGTAATGCCCAAATCGAAAATGAAAAAAAAATATTATTTTCCCATAAATAATTAAAAATGCATCGAACCTTAAAAATCGAAATATCTCAAAAACGGCTAACTATAACAAAAATTCACAAGAGAGCTTTTTTATGTTGAAAAGTGCGAAGTATCAGTTTTTTTATTCAAAACGCAAAAAATTGCACTAAGAAAAATTTTTCGGTCATTTTAATACACTACAGGTACAGTAGAGAGCGCCCTCTAGCGGCTACAGTAAAACTATACCCATGGTTCGTATTTTCGTACCAAAAAACCATTGTATACCAATTTTCACTGTTATACATCAAATATTGTTCGGGGGGGGGAGAGCAACCGCGGATTCTCCTAGTCTCCTAGTCAAGGTTCCAGTTAGCGGGTGCCAACTGGGACCTTGGTCTAGGGTACTGGCGATGGCCTTGATCAGCCGTCGCTTAGTCGCTAGCGGCATCCGGCTGTGTCTACCCAGTAATGGGTAGAGTTGAGCCATGGTTGCTCTGGTCTTTGCGATGACAGCTTCTATGTGGGCTTTCCAGGTGAGGGACTTGTCAAATACGATCCCCAGATATTTGACTTTGTCGCTCCACTGGATATCTTCGTCGAAGATGGATGCTTCGAGAGGTCTTGCAATCCTTCTTCGTTGGATGAAGATTGCCTGCGTCTTCTGGACGTTGATGCGGATTTTCCATTTCACGCACCAGTCCTGGATGTGGTCCAGTTCATCCTGTAGTCTCCTACGGATGATCTCGGGTCGTCGATGCTTGGCGGCTATAGCAGTGTCGTCTGCATATAGGGCCAGCATTGTGTCAGCTGTCTTCGGTACATCGTGAGTATAGATGTTGTAGAGCAGGGGGGCTAAGGCTGACCCCTGGGGCACGCCTGCTTCCAGCTGTCGTCTTGTTGAATGGCATGTACCAATCTTCACCGTGAACCATCTTTGTGTTAGATAGCTCTGGATCAGTTGGCACATGTTTGCATCGATTCCGGCGGCTTCCATTTTGGCGATGAGTCCATCGTGCCAAACTCGATCGAAGGCTCGTTCCACGTTCAGCAGGACGAGGCCGGTTGCCTCCTGGAGATTGAAGCCGCTGGTGATGTTTTCTGTCAGTCGTAGCGCTTGGAGTTCCGTGTTGTGGGAGGATCTGAAGCCGAATTGCTCTGGGGGGAGAAGTTGCAGTTCTTCTGCCTGCTTCTCTAGTCGAACGGCGATAGCCTTTTCGACTACTTTGCCCATCGAGGAAACCAGGCTGATGGGCCGGTAGTTCTGGGGCAAATTCCGGTCCTTGCCTGGCTTGGTGAGCATTATAACCTGAGCTTCCCGCCACCGCCGCGGGAAGTGGTTAAGTCTCAGAGTGGCATTGGCGATGTTGGTGAGCGCAGCAATGCCTTTGGAGGGAAGGTTCTTCAGCATCCTGTTGTTGATGCCGTCCCTTCCCGGCGCCTTTCTGACCTTTAACCTGCTGATGATCAGACGGATTTCCTCTGGACTGGAGGGGTGATCCGTCTCCTGGCCAGGTGGTCGACTAATCATGATTTCGGCTGCGACTTCCACGGCCTCCTCGTGGTTGTCGTCCTCGTCTTCATGGTAATTAACTGAGGTTGCCGCGTCGACTGTACTTCTATATCCGTCGGCTATTACCGTTTCTCTCAGACATCCACCGTCTCACTCTGTTTTCTGCACATCTCGTGGCTCAAGCTGGATTTGCCGACCTGTACATGAATCTGTAGCGTACAAAAAAAAACAAAATACGACTCTGACTACCTGACGTTGACGGATCCGTCAGAATTATGTGTCTGCCAATATGGGGAATTTTGAGATATAACTAGATAATCGGCTGTCATTCTACCGTGATGGATACTCGTGAAATAGGGTATAGTTTTGATTTTTATCATCCGTTTTATCAGCCTGAAATTTCCTACAATTCAAAAAGAAAACATAACCGTACAATAGGAGCGCTAACCCAGACGCAGAACAGTAGAAATCTAGAAATAACTCAGCCCTCTGAATTATTCCGTGTCAGCGCTCTATTTTGAGATTATGTTACAAATATCTAGTTGAATCAAATTGTTCATGCTTTTATTTTTTTAACATCCGTTTTATCAGCCTGTCATTTTATAAATTTCAAAAAGAAAGCATAACATCTTAGTAGGAGAGCGCTGACACTGTCTCGGAAAAGTAAAAATTTGGAAAGGAAATATAAAAATCAAGTAGGCCGTAAAGGTGTCCTACAATAATTGTAAGAACGACTGACGATACGGCCCTTAATATCTTCGAATAGTCAGTGATAGATACTTTTGCCTAAAATATTAAACAAAACGTGAGCGTATGTATATAAAAAATGTCACTTGAACAATTCGGTGAAATATAGTTCGCACCATGATCAAACTTGATTTTACTTCCCACGCTTACTGGTGAGGAAGTTCTGTAATCGCGAAAAATTTCAAAAATGAGGTGTTTCAAAAACGTCACTCATTTCCGTCGGTCTGTCTATCTGCCATTCTTTGGATGGCCTATAACCTGGAAAGTACTGCTCGGATTTGGGAGACATTTTCGCACAAGGTTACTGCTGTATGAAGGACAACAGAGCTTTGTAGTTTTTGAAAATTGGTCCAATGGTGGCGGAGCTAGGGGCAAAAATACGAAAAAAAATAAATATTGCTCAAACGTCGTTTTTTCACGGTTCAGAGGCTCCTGATCATTTTCAGAAAATTTGTTGTAGTGGTTGAAGGTGGTGGGGAATGGTATATCTGTTTTTTTTTTCGGGGCAGTATATTTATACACTACCAACCACAGTAATTTTAGGTACCTATCAGTACATATTTCACACATCAAAGATTTACCCGTACATTTGCCCTTATAACTAAGAAGAATACATATAGAACGAGACTATATGGACGATCCAATGCAACGGCGACTTAACCCTTCCTTGCATCTCACAAATATGTTATAGTAACATGGCTGGAGTGATGCCAGATGGTCGATACTTAGGGCGTGAAAGAAACTAGCGTTAGCGTTATCAAATGGATGGGGACTATGGACTATATACTAATTGTGTGTGAGCCTGTTTAGTTGAATAGACAGCTTTAATATTTTGTTATACGTGTTTATAGCTAGCTCAAAGGGACTAACTTGTTCCAAACATAATCCTTTATGAACTAATAGCGTTGCGACGCCATTTTTTTGCTGAGTAATCATAAAATATTTCCTTCACGCAAGCTTTGTAGAACTTAACGTAATTGTTGTCGGCAATTGCTGTAATTTTTATTTCTTGGCAGACAGGTCAAGCCATAAACATACCAAACTTACTGATAGTTCTTAGGTTAGTACATGGAGCATCACTTAATAGAGATGGGATTTATTTTTTATTCATCACCTATTATAATAGTTTACATAGTTTTCTTGCCGATTATACATCAAAAAACAACATACATTAGTATGATGCATAAAGTATGTATTTCTCAATGATGTAATATTTCAGGGTCTGATACCTCAGGTCCTTTTACAAATAGTTCTTGATAACCTGCATCCCGAATGATTTTATTTTCTACAGATTGTTAAAAAATGAAAAATCTCTTATTTGGCTTTGGAGTACAAATACATAATTTAACGAAGAAAACCGAAAATACTATGTAAAAAATTACCTGAGAAGTAATGCATACTTCCTTATTTTAACAAGATAATTCTGATGAGAAAAATACGGTTCACCATTTTCAAACAGCTATGTAATCGAATTTACATGGAGAAGTATCTGTGGATTATTTCTTATCTCAGGGAAAATATCAGTGGAGTTGTAGAAATTCTGGAAAAAATCAGAAAATATATAATCAGAATATAATGTGCCTTTCTGAACTTAGCTGATATGATCTTTTTTTCATAGACTGACCTGTAGAATCAAACCCTATAGCAAATGTACATCATTAAGGAACAATTTCCCTCATTATGATAATTTATTTTGCAGAGAAAAAGCAAACAAACGAAAATTGTGTGATATTGTTTTAGAATTTACACTAATATGTAGAGGTATTTTGAAACAAAATATGGATACGTTGACGTGCGATTATTCGTAGAAGTTACGGACAGGTATGTAAAATGCTTGTATTCTAGAATTAAATAAAATCATTTATCATACTAATACTACGAAGTATTTTCTTGTATTCCATATTTTTCGAGAAGCTCCTGTTTTCTCTTCCTTAACAAAGCTTGCTCAATGTCTTGCTGGGTTGGTACTGGAACATGAGCAACAAATTTTTGCTGAGAACCATCTATCACAAGCTGTAAAGTTTCACCTTCCTCGTCAGACTAAAAACAAAAACAAATAATAGGGTCTTTCTTGATAAATTGGAAGATTCAGTAGCCAGTTTTGAAAATAATAAAACTACATCATGCATATACAGGGTGTCCGCAAAGTTGGGGTTTTCCTTTTCAGAAATAACTACCCTTGAAATAACAAAGGTAATGTGTAGTAAAACGAGGGCGGCCAAGTAAAAAAAATAAAGAAAAAAGTACTCACTCTCCAGTTGACGAGAAGGGCTAAGTACGTCTCTGCCCGAAATCATACCGCTCCAACAGAAAATGAAATCAGCTGATGCGCTACCGAGCAGACGCAGGCAAACAAGGAAGGCAAAATGTTGCGTAATAAGTCTGGGTATTGCATCCCGTCCAATCGATTTGGGAGAATAAATGGTCCAATGAGCATACCGTTCACCATGCCAGCCCAAACATTCACCGAAAATGTTTATTGAAAATGTGCCCGACGGACAGCGTGCGGATTTTCTACTGACCAAACATGAGTGTTGCGAAAGTTATTCACCCCATTACGCGTGAACGTAGATTCGTCTGTCACCAATATGCACTTCAAAAAGTCCGGATTATTGTCATGTTGATGCAACAACCACTCACAAAACCGCACTCTTGCTGGAAAATCGCCAGATTGAAGGGCTTGTACACGTTGGACGTGAAACGGATACAGTCCCTCTTTACGCAGCGTTTGCCACACTTTAGTTTTTGATACTTTCACTTCTCTAGCCACGTCTCTAGTGCTTGTTGAGGGATTCTCGTCTACGCGATTACCTCTACACGCGTGAACGTAACCGTCGGTTGAAGGTTGCATACTGACCTGACACACTGACCCCGACCCAGTTCTGTCGTCGGGTTGAGCTAGTGTCCTAGTACCACTCGGGGATGTCGCGGCTACAGGACGGTATTCAGATATTTTTGATGTTGCAGAGCCCTTTATCTCGGTTCCCTTAAGACATTGGTGTATATGGTACTAAGAAAAATTGTTTATGTTTTCAAGATCTACACGTCGTGTAAAGGAAAACCCCAACTTTGCGGACACCCTGTATATTTTTTTGTAGCTTTGTTGGTCCCAAGATAAGTTTCAAAGAAATACTAGGTGTCACGCTAGATATAATTTTTTTCGCCTGTAAATTAAAAAAAATAAAACTCACTGCCCCCGGACGTGATGTTCTTGACCACAGACGTGACAAAGCAGTTGTATTTTTGTCATATCTATCCAAAATGCAATTATATAGGGCACCTACTGCATGTGTAAAATCTATATGAACCTGAAGTGAATTCGAACTATCATTAGTCACCCTACGCGTCTTATTGAGTAGCTAAAGTTTAAGTTCTTTCCGTAACCACCTTAGGATGAAATAGGGCAGGAATGTGGAGTATTGGATGATGACAGCTTAACAACCAAAACGTTTGAATTCGTTTAATTATGCAAAATACAAGAGCTGCCCTAAGTTAAGAAACGTAAAGGTATGAAAAATATTTATAAGTACTACGAATTATTAGCACTTCTCAATTGCTTTTTCAAGGTTGTGTCAGTGTCAGATCCGTAAACGTCTTCATAGTGTACACGTTGAGGCAAAATGACAGATTGAGAAACACCATCTTCTGTATGGTTCTTTTCGAGATTAATACCGTTAACTGAACCAGACTTAAATGTAAGGCTGCCTAAATGGTAATGCTTGCAAGTAGTTGAACATTCTAAGCAACTTAACCGTCTCACAAATAGTGTTTGCGGTTCACTGATATGCCACACTATTTGGTGTGAATTTAGTGTTCCCTTGAATACAGGGATACTGTTGGGAACCAATTTACACATGTCAAAGAATGACTGATCGTCAATTGATAGAAAATTTTGTGCTTCTTCAAACTTTCAACTAAAAGAGCCATTTGGCATGTTGCTTACATAAGCAGGCATCTCTGCTTTTATAATTGGGAATTACCACCCAAAAAGGCCGAAATTTGCAAAATGTTGCGTAACTAATCTTCCTAAACTGAGGATAAGTGGCAACAAACTTTTTATGTAGGTTTAGTAAGGTATCGTTAAGGCACCTTTTTTGTTCTTTATTTGTATTTCTTGTTATTGTTTCTTTTTTCCCAGATGAGAGAAGACTATTCTCGTCTTTTTCTAGAAACTCTCTCACCTTCACTGTTCCTTTTAAAATCTTTTTTCCATAGTTATGTTACAATTTCGTATCTGAATCTTAAATGAAGTAAGCCTACGGACATGAGTCAAAAATTTGTTCTTTTTAATTAGATCGCCATTAATAAATGATGAAAAACACATTTTCTTTTCATGTTTTTTTTTCTTTGACAAAGTTTTGCCTCATTTGTTGCTCAATAACTTCTGCAAAAAGTAGCTTTTTTCTGACAGGATCCAATCTTTCCGAACTTTTGCTCTCTCTCACTCAAGTGTTGAATATTTCGCCGGCTGTTTCTTTTACGATCTCTATCTTTTGCTTTTTCCTCAGCGTGACGGACCGGATCATTTCTTATTTTTTCTCTAGCTCGTCTCATACTCATTTTCTTAGCCTCCCTCCTTTTTTCCAATTGTCGACTAATTATCTTTTTCGTTTTGGCCATTTGAAACCTAAAATTATCAATAAACATTGTTACACAGCATTCTTAAAATCAACAGAATCACGGCCGTGGATATTTTGTCACATCCGTGGACAACAAGAATCCACGGACATGACGAAAAAACGTCTGAGAGAATCTACCTTCTATATAATTGAGGTTAGAAAATGCGTCAACTGTTAAATCATACCATTCATGTATATTTTATCTATACAAGACTCATGAAACCTAAAACTAAAATAATACTTACTTTTTCAAGGTTCCACAGACTTGACAAAGGTAGTTGACGAGACGGATTTCACCAATTAAATAACTTTTTATGCGAAGAATGGATTTTGGAATCGCTTCACCGATACGTTAGACATGTCCTTAGGTGTAATGTTTACAGCGCCCCATGCTACAAATTTGTTGTAGCATATTATTCGCGCGAATTTTTGAATTTATAGTGAGGGTCCACGGACATGACGGAAATTCTGTGACAGACTTCAGTACATGAAAATTAACGTATAAAAGTCGGGTAATTTATTTTCATATTCGGGAAAAGTCAAGAAACATAAAAATAACGTGTTCACCAGCACAATTTCTTTTTATTTCTATTCTATTAGTAGAAAAAAAAACTTTTCGTGTTCAGAGCTGCAGTTGTGACTGTCCAAGGACATGATAAATCACGTTCTGTGGACCAGATCAACCTTCAAAAAAAAAATTGAATAAAAATATCAAGTAAGTAGGATTCAAAAGAGAGAATTTTTATTATTTAATGAAAAAATATTGCAAAAATAGTTTTTTGACAATATACATTAGCTGTGACTTACGTTCTGCCTTATTAATGAGAACTACCCAATAACATTCCAAGTTCTAAAATTCGCCACATGATCAGGAGAGCTTTTAGTGCCCTTATTTTGATGCTTCGTTATGATCTCCGTTATTTCAATTTTGCGCAGTAGCGAGACTTTTTCTTTTCTTAGTTATTGAAATACGAAGCACCATTGGATACGGAGAATAAAGGAGAGCTTATTATTTCGTACGGTTATTTTTCCCTTATTCAGCACTGTTGCCGGAATTCATATAGCTTGACCAAAACAATTTCATTAAGGGTATAAAAGGTTTAAAATTCGTTATTTTTGTTGCGCTTGAAACTCTCAATTTAAATACAGATGCTTTGTTACGCATTTCACTTTATTTTTAAGCGCCACATCGTCGGACTAATATTTGTAGCCACACAATGCCAGCCTGTGTCGATTCTTCAAATAAAGTGAACCGTGCCGAAATGCAACGCAATCGGTATTTCATTGTGAAACTTCGTACTAATGATTGTGCTAGGCAATCTTAAAACACACCTCAATGCTTTCTGAATTTAGGGCTGAAGGTGTTTTTCATTGGTTATCGTCAGTAGATTTGTTAGGAACTTAATAAAAAGATACTGAATAGCAATTTGGTCTTATCCCATATTTTACCTCTTGAACAGCATAAATATTTTCTTCTTCAACTTCAGGTTCTTCTTCAGCATCTGGATCGTTTGCTAATCGTTTTTCTTTCTTCTCCTTAAATTCAGCTATAGCTTTCTGAATGGCTAGAACAGTAAATTCAAATCAGTTAATGGATAGAATGTTAAACATTTTCACTAGGAAAATGGGAAACAAAATATATTGTCATCAAAATTGTCAGTTGTACCTGAAAAGGGCCACCGAAACGATAAACAGTATTTCAAGCATATTGTCACCTTACTGCAGAAACAAGGTGACTCCATTTTTATACTTTCGAGTTGAGTACATTTTCACACATACCAGTTACGGATAAAGCTGCTTTCTTACATTCTAATTTTATATTTGAATAAAATTTTCGCATCACTGTAGCCCCCCATTTTCCGATCGAATTTACCAAGTGACGTCAAAAATGTAAATACCAATTACTAAAAACTTCCTTTTTGGGTTTTATCAGGTTTTTGCAGCAACTTTTTCGATATGTGGTATCACTTAGGGGACAGACAAACACGGAGGATTATTAGAGAATTCCCGTTGAAAATGTTTATGGTGCGATTAAATTGTTTTCTACTATAACCCTTTGGGGCTCATTTGGCTCCTTAAGGTATTCTGACGTTACCAAAATAATTACTGGTTGCCTATGATTGCGGCTTTTTATCAGCAATGAAATAGAATCCAACAAGGTGGACGTGCACCTTATGAAAACTTTCCATCAAATAATGGATAATTTTAGCTGCTCACTCATTTGAAAAGATAATCGTGCTATCATAATTCATTTTTATCTCGGTGTTATACAAGTATACTCCAAAAACAATTAGAACACTCGTTTTGCCACATTTTCCTGGAAACAGCACATCCTCCAGGATAATAATTACATATTAATGTTAGGAGTATTACACAGTGTTGCGTTCGTAAATTGACGTAACAGATCCACACGTTGGGAAATAGAACAAAGTAATCCTTCTGGAACGTCAAAAATGCGGTTCTCTACTCGGGGGTTAATACGTTAAAAAACCATAAAATATCAACTTGTTGATTTAGGGCCGGATTGTCAGTCGTTCCTACCATAATTGTTGGACGCCTTTATGGCCTCATTGATTTTCATTATTTTTAGTATCATCCAGAAAGGCAGGATATTTCCAGATTTCTACTGTTTCGTGTCAGCGCCCTATTTTGAGGTTATGTTTTCTTTTTGAATTGTAAGAAATTTCGGGCTGAAGAAACATGATTTTTATCATCTGTATTATCAGTCTTAAATTTCTTAAGATTCAAGAAGAAATCATAACCTCTCAGTAGGAGACCGCCGACGCTTACACGGGCCAACAGAAATCTAGAAATACCCAAGCCTTTCTGAAGGAGAGAGAAGACTATGAAAATCAAGGGAGCCATAAAGTCGTCCTACAATATTGTAGGAACCACTGACGATACGGTCTTAAGTAGGCTAGTGAGCAAATAGTTCATTTCGCGCTTTCTACAAGTGAGCATGTGGTGAACGACAGCTAGTTCCACGTTGATGTAGGAAAGCCTACATAAGGTCAAAAAAACCCACATAATGTCACTTTTCAAGTTACGTAATACCCCTCGTGCTCAAAATCTTGGGAATAAGAACGTTGTCACAAAAAATGCTCAAAATTGGCAAAATACATATTTTTAGCGATAAATCGGCTACCTCGTCTCCATAGTGTTTCTTATGATAAGTCCCATTACATGACTCTGTAATATTTTATGCGTTCTAAAAATAAAGTTTAGCAGTATTCCAGAGTAAAATTTCATCTGTCAATCTACATTCCATTACTGCGTACAGTATTACCACAGCTTAGATAACAATCAGCTATGAGACTCTCCTGTCTGTGTCAAAAACGGCCGCCATTTCGGCACACAAAATCGCATTTGAATTCCCCTAGTACAACCATAAAAGAGGTTTCAGTGTTCAGCAGTAGGCGGTGTTCCCACATATCATGCCAGTGGCCACAGATATTCCGTGCAATTGTAAAATGGTATTTGCATATGATTTAGTGTAGTTTGTGTGAATCAATAATAAGAAGGAGTATGTTTGTCCAAAAAGAAGCGACTGATACCTCTTTGTTTTTTAAAAAGCAACAAAATAAATTTGTAATGGTGGAAGTTTTTACATTAGACGGAAAAATATTTACTTTCCAGGTATTACACGCTGCTGCGATATAATCAATCATAAACCCCACAAACACTCAATCAAGAATTTAGGTGTCTTTGTAGCGGAAAAAACGAGAGCACAAAAACATTTAAATGAGAGATTTAAGAAACATTGTTCATCAGTAAAACTACGATTTTGCATTAATGTTTTTTATACTTCGCTCATTGTAAACAAATTCATTTAAAAAATGTATATGTTGTCATGTAATTACTAATCACTTTGTGCAGAGCGGCATATTGTCCAAGTAAAGAGCGTATAGGTGCCAACAGATTGTATAACTAACCTTAGTAGATATTTAAAATATCGGAACTACCGACCGCTTACACATTAAAAACTCGCCGTGTATCTAGAAGCATCCTAGCTGAGGAGCGTCAGGTTTGATTGCGGTGTTTTAATAGTGTATACATTGAAAATAGAATGGATTGAGGATATCGCAACAGCAAAGAATGCATAAGCAAAATTAAATATTTTTCTGTTTATTGTAAATACTTCCACCAATACGAATTTATTTTAAATCTTTTTCATAAATAAGTAGTCATTAATACTTGTCACGTGCCAAAATTTGAATTTCTCTTTACTGACTATAGAGCACCGATTCCTAGGCCAAACCCTTTTTAATGATTTTCTTTTGAGAAATCTCATAGTTTATTGATTGTAGAATTTCACACGTACGAGTATTATATCTTTCTTTCTCAGCGACTCTGTATTGCGTTGAAATCTTTTGGACACCAATATTCTAGTATTATTAACGACTATCTCAGAAATTTCCTCATAAAATTTTGTTGGACCGTCATAGACTTGGTTGTGGCCATTGGCAGCGCCACCTTGTGATTTCCGTACGGAATAGCCATATAGGGATATTTGGTCCTATCAAGATACCTTCTTCAAGGCCACTCATTCAACCTTCTTTTAAAAAGTTAGGTTTTCTGTGTCATTTACTTTCCTGCTGAGATTGTGGTGTGGGTGTCGTTTCATTAATTTCCAGATTCTGGGATATTAGACTCCCAAACACCAATTTATGGAGTAGTACCCTTTTATTTTGTACCTTACGTTTAGTTGTGTTGGTTTAGGTGCTTCCCCGTCCATTTTCTAATTGGACTTTAACCTCCAGCGGCAAGTTCTTTTTTTGTATACCATCGAACCACGTCCATTAATGCATGTCCTGAAGAAGGTTGTTCAATATCTGCTTCCCTTGACAAAAAACCCTGTTGTGAACAGGTAAAACATTTTAATTGGGTATTTTATAGATATTAATATATTGATTATTGCTGACTAAATTAGAGTGTTCTTGATTTTGTTTGTCATTTTTCGTATTTAAATATACATTGATCATGATTTTGATTCTTGAGCTACCATCAAGGGATAAATTTCTGAGGATATATCACTTTAATACATTTTTATCTTTCTTGTCCTTGCTTTACTTTTCTTGTGAAAGACAATGTACATGGATTTTTCAAGTTTTGAGTATTTTCAATGAGTAGTTTTGTCCCAGACAGAGAGTAGATAGTAGACTTTAGAGCAGTCTTTCTGTCTCTATGGTTTTTTAATACCGTAAATTTTGGAAAACGAGGCAAGCAAGCCCCTACCTTGTGACGTTCCTCACGTCACTGTTCACTACTGGCCACTAGTTATTGACCATTATCCAGATCAGTTTAGATTTAGGCGTTAAAGTATTTGTAACGTCTATGTTTGTAAAGCCTTCGTACGTGTACCATGGTAAATGTTTTGCAGGGTTAATTATCACGGTCCAATAATTTTATTGTCAGTTTTAAATAATACCCTTTCTTTTAACTTGCACTCCAGTGGTGGAGCATATGCGCTGTTTGATTTCTAATATATTGATGTTTTTTTAAATATCTTGTTTTATTGGGCTCTCTGTATACAGTTAATTAGGTTTCGTCATTGTTGTTAGATTCTTTTCTTTTGTGTGGTGGTCAAGCAAAACAAGTTCCGACTAACATCTCCGGGATTTGTGGCTTAATCCGTCTTGAGTCACTGGCGCTCTTAACCCTCCCTACTCTCCGCTTTATTGAGCTAGCGCCTAAATTTACACGCCACTAGACAGCTGTTTTGCATTGACTGACCCGTAGGTTTCATTTAGAGTGTTTTATCAATTCATTAATTCATCACCATTTAATCTTGTTTATAAAAAAGGCGTGGCATACTTTGTCGCTTCTTTTTGGACAAACATATTTGTTTTTATTACTGGTTCACACGAACTACACCAGATCATATCAGTATAGTATAATTTTTACTATTGCAAATATCTGCGGCCGCTGGCAGGGTACGTGGCAACACCGGCTGCTGCTGAGCACTAAAACCTCTTTCATCGTTGTACTGCCAAAATGGCGGCCGTTTTTGACAGTGACAGGAGAGTTTCATAGCTGATTGTTATCTAAGCTGTGGTATTACTTTACCAAGTGATTTACAAACGCACTCTACCTGGAGAATTATCACAAATGATAAGGAGTGTGAAGGGCAAGACGGGTTTCGTGTTACCCTGGTGACACCACTTAATTAATGGTGTTACCAGTCCGAGTGCTGTATCATGACAAATCAGGAGATAAGGGGCCAAGTAATCTCTTCATTAGGCAGGCATTATCACGGAAGAGATGTCATTTATTTAGGATGACCGACTGTATAATACTGGTAGTAACATACTTTTCACTAGTACTCATTCAATATATCAACAATATAAAATACACGATTTCATGATAAAAAGATAAAATTGACCGTAGCGGGTTAAGTAAACCATGCAACGCCTACTATTTTCATTTTTTTATTATTTTTTATCAAAGCTACACATAAAATTGGATTCTTATTTTGAGTTCGGTTGTTATTCAAACATTAAGGTCGAAAGAAAAGACGCAGAAAAGAGAGTCAGCGCACTTACAGTAGAAGGGAAACGAAACGCTCCTTCGCTGGGTTCCTTTACACATGATCAAATGAGAGCCTGCACAATGCAGCGATGCGAAGGAAGGCGACCTGTCACGTTTGACGTGTGCAATTGATAATTGTCGCAGCTTAAACCAAGTCATTGACACGTAACTAATGAACACAAATCGAAATCAGTAGTCTGATGCGTTATACTCTGAAATCTAAGACATAATAAATGCTTTCAACTTCGATGAATTCGTTCGAACAGAGTTTGGAAGTGTCAATGTCATGCCAAGTTTTTTTGTTTTATGTAAGTCTATAAGCAGTGTTTTATAGTATGTCAATATTTAACGGCCACACTCAAAATAACAGCATTTTCCTTGCCAAAATGAGCTTTATTTTCCGCATAATTGCAACGATTTTGTGGTGTGCCTTTTAGTTACAGTCAGCATAATTAAGTATTTAATAATATTCCAAAATTCGTATAACGTCTGTGGGTAGTATGGGTACACTAGAATATAGTTTTTACATATTTTGGCACCTGTTATCATTAATAATTTGAACAAATGTTTTTGTTTTATCATACCAATGCACACTTTACCTGCTTTTTCAGATGCCATTTCCAATGGTATCAGGATGCCGTCATCATCATCCATGTAACCGTAGTAATCCGCGTCGATGTCCTTCATGAGTTCTGCCCTAGTTTTACGTGGTGGAGGCGGAGGTTCCTGCTCGAACAGTTCTCGGACGCCTGGAGAGACAAGCGTATACGGTTCCAAAGTGATTTTTGAATATTAATTTCTAACGATAATGTGATTTCTCTTCAATGATTGCATGATATATTTTCGTAAAAATATCGTTATTCTTATATTATGCAGGGTGGTCAATTTCAGCTATCACAAATTGTATACTATAAAAGTCTGAAACTTTAAGATATAATTATTATACGTTAAATACGGCATCAGTTCAGTGATTAAATAGTTGAATGATTGACTTGAAAGTTTATCAATACATCATTCAATGTGTTATATGTTATGTGTATATGTTACCAATGTAACTATGGTCATGGATTTACCAGATGTAAGACCATGCAATATCAGTCTAAGAAACACTTTTTTGTACAACTTTGTAACTAGTGCATTCAATTAAAAAAAAAGTCTTATTATTTGCCATAGTAGTTTCCGAATTTCTTTAATCAGTATAAAGATGTCGTTTCGCGCTCTATAACAGCGACAGTCTGAGACCAATTCGTACGACTAGTGCCTGACACCCCTGTAGAAAATCTGTTTCACTATGAAATATTCAGGGTAAGAGGCACGTGCATGATTCTTAGCTCTCATTGATTTTTGATGGGTTTTACTTCCGACGCCACTGACGAGGAAGTACTGTGATCCAGTGGCGGCTCGTGAGGTAGTGCCACGGTGCCATGGCACTACCTTGTCTTCTTCAAAAAGAATATTTTTTTCAATCTTCAATGTTTTACTTTATTTTCTGCTTTTTCATTTTTTTTTTTTTGGTATAAATTATATGAAGTGACAACACTGACAACGTGACAACACCGCAAGCACCCGAACCACGCGATACGGAAAGCACGCCTTGACCTTGACGTCATCAACTTGTGCCAATTTTGGGCCGGCCCAAATAAAAAGAGAGAAATTTTACTAGCATCGCATACGAGCGACAGAGATACCGCTACCCTACACATTTTTATGAGGTGAATAGCGAAAGACAAGTATAATTTGTGCCAGGCACATCATCAGTCGTAATTCGTTATCAAGTGATATCGGCGGTGTTTTTGTTCGGTCGGTCGTTTCGTTATGATTACGTCTAGTGCTGATTTCGGTCTTTTTTTACCTGAAAAGTGAAAAATACCTTTTTTGTTTTAGTACGTCTAGTGTTAATGAACTGCTCTGTTTTGTGATCATATTTTTTACTGTTTTATTAAAACTAGTGAAAATGAATAAAATCGGGATATTAAAAAACTCATTTAGTGGTTTTTCGCTGGATCAAAAACTGCAAATTAAAGAATTAGGACGGCCAATACCCGATTTAAAAATTGAGAAACAAAGTGGTAGCGGACAAAAATCGCGCTGTCGCAAATTTAATAAAAATGTGTACGATAAAAACAGCTGGATATGTGGTTGTGAAGAAACGAATAAACTATTTTGTTTTGTATGTGTTCTATTTGGAGGTGACGAGACTTGGTCAAAAAAAGGTACAGACGATCTTATACATATATGGGATAAAATGAAGACCCACGAAAAATCTAAAGTCCATATGAATAATGTTTTTAGCTTTTCTATTCTTGGTAAATTAAATATAAGGACTCAACTCAATTCGGCTTATCGCAATGATCTAATTAAACATAATAATCAAGTGGATAAGAATCGATATGTATTGAATAAAATTATTAATTGTATAAGGTTTTGTGGAGCATTTGAGTTAGCCTTAAGGGGTCACGATGAAAAGGAAAATTCGGAAAACAGAGGCATATTTAAGGAGCTGGTGAATTTTAGCGCCGAATTAGACAACGAATTGAAAGTCCATATTCAAAGTGCCAAACTTTTCAAGGGTACCTCAAAAACAACTCAAAACGAGCTTCTTGAGTGCATGCTAGATGTTTATCATGAAGAAGTTAAGAAGGAGATTGCAAATTCTCCTTTTGTTGCAGTAATTGCCGATGAAACGACTGACGTAGCCTGTGAATTTCAGTTAGTTATTATTTTCAGATATTTGTGTAAAGGACAACCAATTGAGAGATTTTGGAGATTTTACGTCCCCGACGGACACGATGCCAAATCAATCGCTGCATGCGTTTTAAATGTTGTAAATCCATTACTAGATCAAAATCCAAACAAATTAATAGCTCAAAGCTATGATGGTGCGTCTGTTATGAATGGTGAATTGAATGGCGTTCAAAAAATTATTAAGGAAACTTATCCACTTGCAAATTATGTTCATTGCTATGCACACCAGTTAAATCTAATTATGACAAGCGCATGCTCTGTCAATAAGCAGGCTAGAATATTTTTCCATAATTTATCTGGATTGTGCTCTTTTTTTTCGACGTCTCCTCAAAGAACAAAAATTTTGGATGAAATAGTTAATTGCAGATTGCCAAGATCTTCCCAAACACGTTGGAATTTTCAGTCACGAGGTGTTCATACAGTTTATGAAAATAGGAAAGACCTGATTGAAGTTATGGACAATATAGAAAGTACTTCACGCGATTCTTCGTCGATTAATCAAGCCAGTGGGTACAAATTAAAGCTGCAAGATACAAATTTTGTATTTTGGCTAAGTATATTCCATAAAATAATGCCACATGTTGAAATTGTCTTTAACCAATTACAAAAAGTATGCACCGATTCTGTTAAGGTCAAAAATGATTTAGAGAATTTTGAAGCAGCAATTCAAACTATACGAGAACAAATGGATAGCATTATTGACGAGATTGAACGAGTGCAGAGAGAAACTGATGAACCGCCAAGAAAAAAAAGGCATGTTGAAGAAGGCAGCAAAAAACGGGAAGCGTTAGAAATATGCGATGCAGTATTATCGCAAATAAGAACAAGATTTAACTTTTCTGGACATTTAGTTGCTTCTAATTTATTTGTGTCTGAAAAGTTTTCTGTTTATAAACATCAGTTTCCTGAAGCACATTTAAATGACACATGCACACAATTTCCATTTTTAGACAAAAACAGGCTTAAAACTGAGTTACAAGTATTATATCAGAGAGAAGAATTGAGTACTACTTCTGGAGCTGTTCCACTATCCATTTTATTGAACGAGGAAGGATTAAATTGTATGTTTCAAGAAACTCTTAAGCTCTTAAGTATTTTAATCACTATACCGATGTCAACATCTGAAGCAGAACGCTCTTTTTCAATGCTGAAACGGATTAAAACTTTCCTCAGAAACACAATGAAGGAAGCAAGGCTTAGTGCTTTAGGAATGCTGTCTGCAGAAAAACATTTTGTTAGTGGCATTGAAAATTTTAATAATAAGGTAATCGAAAACTTTGCTACCAAAAAAGAAAGAAGAATGGACTTCATGTATAGAAAACTTTGAAGTTATAGGTACTTCTCCACACTTGTTTTATAATTTGGTGCGCGTGTGTAAATAGTTTTATTTTTGATTTTTTTTTGGACATATAGATTTATTGAACCTCAAGAACTTTGACCACTAACTATCAGGGGTAAGTTATAAGTTATTCTTTACAATTTTGAATCGATTCAAAATTATGGCTTCCATTCTGGCACTACCTCACTGAATTGGCACGAGCCGCCACTGCTGTGATCGCGAAAAAATTCGGATGTGAGATATATTTGTTGAATGTTAGATTATATGTACACAGTCCTTATCTTAATACTTCTCGGATGTTGATGAAAATTTTCCAAAGTAAATTTATCACTATCCTAAGAATGGGTAAACTTTGTAGTTTTCGAAAATCTGTCCAGTGATGGCGGAACTACTGGCAAAAAATGAAGAAAAATTAGGGGCTGACTGTTGTCAGGGATGGGGAAGAGTATTTCTCAATGTTTTAACGTTTGTATATTTATACGCTTTCAACTCAGGTAATTTTAAGCATCTATTAGAGTCATATTTCACACATCATGGATTTACCCATACCTTGGCCCTTAAAGCGGATCATAGAAGTATTTTAAACAAACGCGTCTCTGGATATACATACCTGCATCGCAGTCTGACCGATGGTTGGCTGGCGAGGTTCACCAGCAGTCCTGCCATATGGTCGGTACTGTCGGGGAGAATATTCTAGTTCGTAACATTGTCAAATGTGTGGGGAATATAGATTAAATTGTATGGATCTGTTTGACTAACTTGATCCATTTAATTTTCTGTTATACGTGTTCGTAGCTAACTTATTTCTCAGATGGATTAACGTACGAACATAATCCTGTATGAACTGATGTCAGCGTTGCGTGGGAAGCGCACATTCAACCTACTTGACGCCATTTTTTTTTCAAATTTGGAGTTAAGATTTTCATAGTAATGGCGATGTATTTCTTGTATCAGCACTATGCCACTTGTCCCACGAATCGGTCTCGGGCTTATTGAGGTCGATGTCGCGACGCGGAATATCACCTAAAGAGACAAAAGGACGTATTTCTCTTCACCAAGCAAATCATTCCAAATGCTAGATCATTTTTCATTTTTTTTTGTACAAGTTTGTGACTGCTGTGTTTAGAGGGTCTGATAAAATGATCTCCCACATTCTAAGTTTTAAACAAAACGCGAATTTTAACTGCTATTTAGATTTTATTTTTTATTAACTGAAAAAGTGTGCTATGCCATTTGTTTTTATTAAGTTTTGAAAACAACAGAGTCCATTGTTTTTGATACACATTCGAAGCTGATTTCTGAAAGTCTTTCATTTGGTCAATGGTTCGGGGGTGGTGTTGAAAAACCTTCGCTTTCACATAGCCATAAAGGCAAAAGTCACATGGGGTAAGATCGGCTGAACGCGCAGGCCACCCAACTTCTCCACGTAACGAGATTACGCTTCCTGGAAACATTACCTTAACACGTCCACTGTGCTTACCGAATGGGCCTTAGCTGCATTCTGTTGAAACCACACATCCGGATGTCCAAGTTCTCTGAAGTTTGGTTCCAAAAGATTGCGTAGCATGTCGACATATCGAGCGGCAGTTACAGATACCGTCACGCCTCAATCTTCAAAAAAATAGGGACCCCAAACGATACGAGATCCAACAGCACACCAAATGG